ATTTCAGTAGAGTCTCCGTATTTTGTTATCTTTTAATTTTGTTTCTCTTTTGACGTTATGTCAACAGATCGTTACCCCACTCTGGAACGCCTAGCTACGAATTAACTTTTGAAAAGCCATATGATTATTGGATTCACACGACATCGTGAAAATTTAATGGACGGTTTCCGACCAAATATGCAAATTTGAGTGACCCAATTTTTTTGACACGAATATGTAAAAATGCCTTAGCTTCTAGGTTAAAAATTATTAGAGGTTATTATAAGGTAAACCTACGCAGACATACTAAAAGGAAAAACACTACGTGTAATAGAAACGCTACACTTACTTTAGCTTCCCTTTTGTACAAATAAACAAGTTCTTTATCTGTTGGAGGTTATAGGCAAAAAAGCGTATTAAAAAGTGCTAACAAGCTTCTATTTATGCTGACATGTCTATTTTTATGTTTGTTCCCACTGGAAAGCCTTGAAAAAATGGGAACGACTCGAGTTTTATTTCCTGAAGTTTGTGATATTGTCTGTTTTGCACTACTATAAGCTTATGGTTTCAATGTCTTCTCAAAACTCTCAAGTTTACACCGGAACAAACCAAGGGCTGAGAGAAAAAAACATCAGCTATAACACAATTATGATAAGGTTTATTTTTTGGCATGTTTTTTTTTTCTTAAGTGAATCTTAACTCTACTTACCAGCTCAACACAAAGATTTATTTGTCAGTTATTTATCAGCTCAACACAAAGATTTATTTGAACAACTGAAGGGTTAGTAAGCTGAGTTACAATGTTTTGAAAAAAAAAAACCCACTTGATTAATATCTGAATTACAAAAACACAAGGATGAATGTTGAAACAGGCAAATTAAAAAATGAGGAAAGTTTTCATTTTCAGAAAGATTCCTCGATGTTTGACCGTAATGAGAAAATATTGATTTGAAAAAATTCTTCTTTCGAAGAGTTTAGGAGAATCTGTGGTATTTTTAGGGAAAACGCCTCGTTGTGGATACACTTCTTGCATTTCACATTTGGAAATTCCTTCGTATTTAACATAGGTGGAATACAAAGGACTTCAGTTCTTCGCTCAACTATACCTGGAATATCACAAGGTAATGGAAGTTCAAGTAACATACCGAGGTAGGTACTTTGGCATAAAAGGTTTTTACATCATTTTTTGTGGAGTTTCATTAACGAACTCTATAATTCAGATGGCAACTCAAGCTGATAATTTCACCAATCACCTACTGTAATGATAACATCTGCAGCTGTTGTTACGCGGACTGTCCAAATGTGATCACGCGTCATTCGATGGCTTGCAAGGAACAGGAATGTCGTGGATATAGCTGATAGTTTGACTGAGTGAGCTTATTCAATCATTACATGTGTTCTACTATGCTTGCTTTAAAGGGTTAACACTGGAGATGAATATTCAGAAACAAGAGTTCCTTGATACCACAGCAGGAGCAGGAGTAACAGTGGATATCTCAAATCAAAGACACTAAGAGGCGACTCTAGATACCAATCCTTTAGCATAGTGAGTTATTATTCTTTTTTTTTGCATTCTCCATTACAGACTGTCTTTGGACGAACTGATCCCGCTAAGGATGATAAGCGTTGTAGAGAAGGAGACAAATTCACCCGGAAAAATTTATGCACGGAAATTTTGAATACCTCTTACTCGATGACGACGGTCAATCCAATTTTTTATCTATCAACATATCCATTCGTCGATTCAACCATATAACCAGCAATCCATTTATGTCTGTACATGTTATATCCTATTCGATCATGAGTGTGCAGAATCTTGTGTTCCACCTTGCAGGTACAAGTGTAGGTTCTTTTTAGGATCTTTTCGGCATACATACTTCAAATAATCAATATCGCTTTAACAAAGTAAATACAATTTTTGTTTGTTTGTTTGTTTGTTTGTGCTTTTTTCAATCTGGTAACCGACGGAAATGCGGATTTTGTAGGTCGGCGTTTTTCCAAAAGAGTGCATCTTTTGAAGTTTGGCAATCTGAGAAATACAAGGTATTTCAATGATCAGGAACGCTGTGTGCGTGGAAAGGGGCCGCGTTTTTATAAATGTCAATCGAGGTTTTTTTTTTTAGCTCAATATCCTTACCTTTGATGATGACTCTTGATCGATAACTATTAATATTTTGATGTGCATAGCTTTATGATTCAAACAAAACCTGTCAAGAGAACCAAAAAAATAAATAAACAATAACAACAAGAACAACAAAAACAGTTACAAAACACAATCAGACATAGCATACATTCGTAATAATAAAACCCCATGGTAAGAATACAAATGAATTATGAAAATGTACACTTGTGATAAATCCTACATTTTCTTCAATAATAATATCATTACGTGGCCAAGTTCAAGGAATGGTAGATAAAAACTTTTAGAAAAACCCTGGTTTAAGGTCATTTTCTGTCATCGAGATATATAGCACGGTGTTGTAATAACTTGACAGTTCAGCTTTCAGGTCTTAAATATGAGGTCATAAGTCAAATCTTTTCATACATATATCTTTAGGAGGCAGGTGGTCAATTAAAATTCAGCGATGAGGATTTTGGTTCGTAAGTATTGCATTTTTTTCTATACTTTTCGGAATTAATTTATACGTGGAGTTCTTAATTCTTCAAATATATACTTTTTTCTGTCATGACGTCAAATTTGATACTCAACCCATTTTGTGTAGGAGAGTACCAATGAAATCAATACTAATTATCAGTTCAAGTTCAACAGATTTTATAATCCCCTCAAAAATAGTTAATTTACCTTACATTTTTTAATGGGATTATTAGAAAAAATAACCTGAGGCTGCACGTTTTTTATCAAGAACTTGAAAGAGAAGTAATTAAGGAGGTAATGTCGTACACGGTAAGTAGCAGTAGTCGATACAAATGTATTTGAACAGTTATAACTGTTTTAAACGTTTGGATGGAACTGGGAAGTAATATAAAATAATGGAAGCATCATCTCAACGTCGCAGAAAGAACACACGATAAGGATATGCCGGTGCACATATTGAGAGTGACAAAGTCTTTCTTACCAGACTCTCTTTGTGAGAAGGCAAGTTTCGTTGTGAATAAGAAATAGCTATTTTAACGGAGTGGCCCTCATGCTTGTACCCACCATGTTCAATCGACTGCAGCTGTTCACCTCTTTGCCAACATGTTTTACTAATCTGGATGTCCTTACTTTCCTTTTTTAGATGGATGCGTTTATTTTAGGCGTTGGTGGTCAATTGGGACTTTGGGTTGGAGTTTCTGTTCTGCCTCTGGTTGAATTTCTGGAGTTGATAACAACGCTCAGCCGCTTTGCATTCAAGATATATTAAAAAAAAAGTCAAGTTATTATTGCAACTCCTTCAACTTAGGCGAAAATGTGGTCCATCCTACGTTGGGTTTTTTCGAGGAAACTTTGCAAAGATGGCATTCACTTTTTATATTTTGTTCACTAAGTCCAAAATGTAAATAGGAAGTGTCTGTAACCAATTCAACTATAGTTCTGAAGACGATTTAAGAGATGCGTGAATTTGACAACGATTTTGTTTTAAAACCATTAATAATGCACGTCTGAACAAAATATTAAATAAGTTTCCAAACCATGAGGCAGAAAATAAAATATTTTTACCGCAACACGTTTACAAGGGATCATCGTTAGGATCATTTTCTACATAAAGTTTGCTTGAAACTGAAATTCACGAGAAAATTTACATGTATAACTAAGCGTGGACAACATTTGTATACGAGGCTTGCGGATTGTTGTTATTGAGATCAAATTCATACGGTTTCCTTAGGAGGCAGGCCAAAGAACACTCCATTCTGATTACAGTTCCTGCTGAAACCAATTTATTTACATTTTTATCTATTCAGATAACTTACTTAGTCACGGTGTGAAGCTAATAAAGTTATCTACTATGAGGATCAATGAGGCCTAGGTTGAATAAAGTATTTGCTATTGTTTGCAGTTTTTAATTAAGGTCTTTTCAGCTTACATAACTCACTCTAATACAGCAGAAGAGTATGTGGTTTAGAAACAAAGAATAAATAGAAATACAAACAGATCCACGCAAACTTATTTGTGGAATTGAAGCCCAGTATATTGTAATTTTCCTTTAGGATGGAGATGCGTACCGAAAAATAGTTCATAACAATGTTATGTAATCATGTTTTGGGAAGTGAAGCAAACGGTCCTTGTTTTAATTCGGTTTTTTTTACAGTTTCAAAAATGGAAATTCTTTAGAAAATTATGTAGACTTAAAGACGACAAAAGCAAAAGTGGATAACCCCTGCTGAGTAATTACTAATTTGATAAGCGATTTGACCTTACATAATTGAGTCATTGGGACATCAGCTAAGGTGGCTTAAGGCTGAGGTAAGTTGGGCCTCTGAAATTTTTCCATGAATGTTTCTAAACGTTTATTTTTTGGAGAGGATAAAAGTAAAAAAGTAGGCTTAGAAGATACCCAAGTAATTAATGCAAAAAAAGTCTACTGAAGGAAAAGAACGTTTAGGCTAATAAGGTGATAGCAAAATGTCCTAATGAACATTTTTTGTTTTCAAAAAGTCCAAATGTTTAGGTGAAAGAGTGATTAACTTGCTCGGAAAAAAGGAGGTTTCTTTAAAATTTCTTCGATTTATTGAAGTTCAATGGGACTTCTATCGAACTTCAATCAATCGATTCCACACTACGCGGGAAAACCAAGAAAAGTGTAGAGTTAAATTAACTTTAAAAGGCTCCTACGCATTAAAATTCTTGACGACCAGCCATGTATACTGACAAGGGAGCAAACCGACCGAAGGGAACCGTTATTAATTTCTGAATACTCGTAGAACTAACAAGATACGGAAGTCTGTTACATATAGTTTTCATCTTTTTATTTGCTTTGTTGCATTGATTCATGATTCGTAAAGAAGTCGCTAACACTTCATGAGGGTTGCCATGGAAACTCCAGAGGCAAAGCACGAAGAGAATACGACAGGTGGAACCGAGATCAAGTTCAGTTCAGTCATGCGGGAGTTTTGTGACAACACAACAGCGCACGGTCTGGGGAGGATACATTTTGTTAATCATTGGATCAGGAAAGTGTTCTGGAGCTTATTGTTTATTGGCGCTGTCACAATGCTTTGTATTCAAGTACACACTTTGTTCGACAAATATCGAAAGCGACCGCTGACAACTTTAGTCACAGTAAAAACAGAGACGGTGAGTCCGAGTAGACCTTCATGTTCTTTATGACATAAATAGTGAAGATACTATTTCGAAGTTAACATCACAATAGCTACTTTACCTTAGATAAATTGACTTTCTATGTCAAGGTTGAAGTTCATTCATGTTTGGAAAAAAAAATGGCAAGATATTTCCAGAAGTGTTGATGAACTTGCACCTCTAATCAGAATTCATCTGTATCATGATTACAGAGTCTGGAATTTCCTGCAGTAACATTTTGTAACTTCAACGCCATGAAGAACTTCACAATTCAAAGTGGCGATAAGAAGCTGACGGATATTGTTCATCAACTGCAAGCACAAAGTAAGGCATTAATTAGACTTGGAAATTTTAAAGCAGAAAGAGTCAGAGATCGAAGTCAAAGTTTTGTTAGGGAGATTTCCTCTGCTTTCGACAGCACTCAGGACTGAAAAGTAAGAATTGAAAATTTGAGAACTGTGTCTTATTTGCAGATTCGTCAAAAGTGCCGGGTAACGATACTTCCGAAGCAGTATCTGAAAGCAGCAACACAGAAGACATCGAGTGGAGCCAAGAAGACTTCCAAGACCCTGAAGATCTTGATACGATATATCAAAGAGGAAAGGAAATGTCAGTGTTTTTGGCGAAAGAGGACTTGCAGACTCTCACTTTACTGGGACATCAGTTTAGTGATATGGTCCTGTCTTGCACATTTAGAGGAATGTCATGCAGGTGAGGAACTTTGTCTACCTTCAACGGATAACCTTGATAATGCCTTGAAAACTTCAGGATTTAAGGCAATCTGACATTATCTAATTTTCCAATAATCATTACAGTCGAGGGGGTTGTTTTGGATGATCACAAATTCAAAGAAACAGGTATCGCAGGAACAAGAGTATCCTGCAATCAGGTTGTGTTATTTGAGATCAACTTGTTCTTATTCTTCGCTTGTTTTAGAAACTACACAACATGGAACTGGACATCATTCTGGCATTACAAGTACGGAAACTGTTTTGTATTTAACGGTGGCCAAGTGAATGGAGTTCCAGTGGACATTTTGAGATCGAACAATCGCGGCCCTTCTGAAGGTGTATACTAACTGTCTTGTTTGATCAGACCTTCATTTGACTATCACTCATAACTGATTACGTTCCATTTACCTCTTTGAGCATGAAGCAGGAATGCCATGAGGGAAAGCAAATTTGTTTGAGGACTTTAACTCCTTATGCAAGAAAGGCTAGTCTCTTTCTTGATGGTTTGGTTTTATCAACTGAGTTGATAATGGATGGAGGGCTAACGCTCGAAACATCAGCTTTAGAAACTCTCTACGGTGGCCAATTTACTTAATCAACTCAGTTGATAAAGTAACAGCAACACAATTTCTTTTGAAACGTATGCCATCTCTTTCTTCTCTATGTTAGGGCTTTCAAATACGCATGCTTTCTTGGTATCAAAAGTGTAACTTACTTTTGTCTACTTCGATTCAAAGGTCTCAATCTTGAAATTAATATTGATCAAGAAGAATACATCGGCCAACTGACTCCACAGGCAGGAATAAGAGTGGATATCTCCAAACCGGGAGAAATGCCATTCCCTTTGGAAAAAGGAGTGAGTTTGGCTCCAGGGTACGCTACAATGCTTGGACTTAGAAAGGTATAGTCTGCTGTAATTCTTTGGTGCCGACTGAACATGAAGAGATTTGTAGTATAATTCTAGAATTACTGGAGGTATATTTACATCTACCGTTGCCATAGAACCCAGCAGCAGTGGCATACATACTGTAATTGCCACTGTTAAATATGTGGAATTAGTTATTGATTATTATCTGGATGGGCGAGGATGTCTCTTAGCATTTTTTAATCGTAGTATCACACACATTATGAATAGCAGTTTAACGGTTTGGATTGACCTCTTTGCGTTCAAGGTAATTTTTGTGCCAAGCTATCGCATGCCAGCAGTGTTTGGCTTTTTGCAAAGTTTTCTCTCCTATTAGCATGAAGCGCTAACTGGAACTTAAATCTGGTGCATCTCTCCACAGATAATCAAAGAAAGAAAAGACCCTTTCAACACAAAGCGTTGCCTGAATTCAGTTGATCGAGATGACAATAACCTATACACTCGCATTTTTAACGTAACCTACTCGTCTACGGTAAAGTATAAATAAATAAGTTTAATTAAAATCATTTTGAAAAGTTTATTTTGAATAACAAAATTGAGGAATAAAAATTCCGCACCTACAACTTAAGTTTAAGGCACTTTCTTTACCGTTTTCTCTTTCGCTGAATGATCGATGGATGATGTGCAAGCCATATCTTAGGCTAGAAGTGCTAACTTTGATTGTGAAGCAGTCTTCCTCGATTAAAACAAATGTTGCTTTTACCAGCACATTCTCCATTCTGTTATTCTGCTCTTTTGTGGTTTTCGAGCGTGGAATTTTGATTTAAAGAATAATCGGAAACGTAGAACAAAGATCATTTATGTTGTGCTTTTTTCGGTTCTGCAACCTTTTCATTAATATTAAGTTTAGTCTCAGAAAATATTAGTGTTTATGTCTATTTCTAGGCTTGCAGAGAATCATGTCTGGCTTACAATCAATTCGAGATTTGTGGTTGCGTGGAATACAGATTTCCAGCTGAGGGACTATTCAACATTTGCAGTGTCACCAACATTAAAACACGTAAGGATTGAAAATACATTTGCCTTAATGTAGATTTATGCTTACTTTTAAATCTTTTTTGAATTGCTGACATAACTCTTGTTTTATAGTAAAGTGCCTCAGCAGAGTTCAAAACCTCTATAAAAACAACAGATTGAACTGCACTCAGTCGTGTCCACCTCCATGCAGGTAAATGAAATCAACATCATGTTGATTTTCATATCCCAGTAGCTGTGTCTTTTCTCTTGCAGGCCTTGTGAAGTGGTTAGATTGATGGTGCAGCCAGATCATTGCATCTCTCTCCAGAAATACTAATGGACCGGCATCATGAAATCTAAATTAAAGAATCATTTCTGTTCATTATCTCTTACAAAAATTGCCTTTTTCTACACATTTTAAGTAGCTTTTAAATCCAATATTTGTTAACTTTCTTTCCACAGACTGGAAGAGTTCAAAATAAGTTCTTCATTCGCTACCTGGCCTTCGCAAAACTATGAGGTAAAAAACATTTAGCCACATACACTCTAGATCACAATAATTTTCATCAAAATACATGTTCAATGAAATGTTCTAAAAAGGGGAATTCGTGGATTTTTCCCGTGATCAATGAAGTTCCGGAATGGTAAAAGGAATTTTCTATTAAAGGATGGAGGAAGTGTGGAGGTGGATCTGCATTGGTACTGATATTTTCCTATTAATAAATCAAATGAAAAAATTACTCAGTTCTGATTGGTTAACATAAATTTTCAGGTTATTCAAGGCAGAAGAGGGTTAATTCAGTGCAAAGCAGTAACAAACCAGACTGAACAATTCCTTGAACTGTTTAGCCGGAATCTGAACTTTTTTGCGCCTTAAAGATGTGAAAATATCATTGTATATCATTTTTTCGATCGTACGCGGTTGTTTTGACCGAACGCACAATGTCACTTGCATAGTTTGAATAAATTATTTTTGCACTTGAAGCGCGCGCTTTTCTTCTGCATAATTATGATATATCTGGTTTTTTTCATGTATATTATCATGACGTAGTCTAATGATTTTTCTCGTGCAATTTGGAATGAATAATCCGTTTGTGGTCTTTGAAAAGATTTACTCCTGCTTTTCTATTCCAAATTGCACTCGAAATCATGTGATTATCTATAGTTATTTCATAATCATTGATACTTTTTCATAAATAGGTGAGAATCATGCACCCAATATCATGGCCAGAAACGAAATATACCAACCCCAACTGCATTTATGCCCTTACTACGTGTATATCCTTTTACGTAAGAATCTTTCAAACGAATGATAATTTCTATCTGGTATTTTGTTTCTTTCATTTTGTTGTATTTCGTTCTTCTTTTCACAGAAGTATTATCAAGAGATAGTGCTAGAAAATTACAACAGATTACTCATCACCAAATCTGGATCCCACAGGTAAGGAACTTGTTCAGTCATAGTCCGTTGACGAAAATAATGAAAAATTAAAAGTCAGGTTGAAGATACTCTCATAAGCTGGTAATTACTAGAAATTTTAATATATCTTGTGGTGATCTATTTTCATGAACGCAGAAAAAATGTTTTGAAACTGCAAGTTTTCTTCGAAGATCTTGACGTGGAGGTCGTTTCAGAGCAACGTTCATATGAAGTGAGTAGCTCACATGTCTAATAACATTTCTTTTATTTCGGTGCGGATGAACAGAAATCAAATATTTGCAGAAAGGAAGGAAGCAATACCGGACATTCCTTTTGTTTCAGACACATCTTATAGCTCTTTAAAATGCGTCTTTTCGTTTTTCAAGAGAGATAGGCCTTCGTTGAGGGGTTCTTTAATTAAAAGATAACTGGCTATTGTTTCAACTGATGTTGGAAATGTGAAAACATATGAAGTCATTGAGTGATATATATTTATTTCCGATGTGGATCGTGACGTTTCGCCTGCGCACTGCCAGTCTTTCTCAAGAGAGTTTTTTGGTGTTATCACTCGTAATTTATATTACAGAGGCCTTAAATTTTTATAATAAAAAAAGAAAAGGGGAAATCAACCATAGAGTTTCTTGTCTTTGTGGAAGCTACCGAATATAAAAGACCAGAAACCCGAACTTGCCCTCCTCAAGTGGTGTCTTTTTTTTTTTTTTTCCCGGCATTCGAAACAAAGAACAAAAAGTTTTTTCTTAACAGATATTAGGATATCATTAACTCTGCTTTTAGACATTATGTAAAGCTCAGTAGCGCCACCATCTAGTGCGAAGAAAGAAACGCTTTTTTTTCGTTGTTTGTTCGCAGTGAAAGAGGGAATTTAACTCCATTCAAGTTTAACTCACGATACCAAATAAAAAGACGAACTCTTTGCACCAGGGAAAGAAAAACCATGTCTTGGAAACATAAGCTTTTGTTTTTAAGTTGCTTAATTAAGACTAACGCTCCAGAGCCGATATCGTCCACTGCAAGAATTATCGGGCAATACTTTATGAAAGAACTTAACTTGCTTAAGCAAAACTCAAATATAAATGTACCACTTGTAATCATAGATAAGATACTTTACGCATAAATATCAAATGGAATCGTACGGATATTTGTTTTGATACTCATTATTTTTGCTGTAAATTTCTGGCCAAGAAACTTTTTAACAGCTGTTTATTTTTTACCTCAGCTGGTCAACTTTGTGTCAGACATCGGTGGTCAACTTGGCCTATGGATTGGGTTCTCTGTGCTGACTCTGGCTGAGTTCTTAGAGCTTATTATGCTACTGTGTCATCTGGCTGTCAAGAAATGCTTCAAGAAGAATGGCACGTCTGAGAGTTATCTTCCGAATTAAGGCTGAATGGATTATGAAAGGCGAAGGATTTTATTAAATGCTTAATAACACACTTTAAATCTCTCTCAATTTCCTCTCTTTCATCGTTGATGTTTGCGTCTTGTTATACATGAAATGATTTTTACATTGAAATTTTTAATTTCAATGACGAGACTATTTTCAGAAAGACAGAAGCGGAACAATCATTGTTATACGCGAACTTTCATGGGCAGCATTTAAAGTGATGAAATATTGGCTTTAATCCATGAATGGAATTTCCCACTTTGAGTCTCCCCTACCTGATTAATTAAGATTTTTTTTTATAGAATATGACTAAACAAATCATCAATCCACAGAGAAAATAATTTTTTTGTCAATGTGAAACTGGATTTAATACGCCCTCTACTGCCCTATTCATTCAACTTCGACCCGTTGCCTTTTCTCGTTGTATTATACAGCACATAATTAGTTGGCATGATAACTCTAACACAGCCAAAATGATTATATCTATTATCAAGAAGGGTTTCGTTTATGGCAGTTTTATTCCAGATATAAATAAGTTTACAACAGACGGTAATTACGGTGCATTTTTGAGCATGACACCATCAGCCGAGAATTCATTTGCGACACATATCTCTATTCGCGTCGCGTGTCACTTTTGATGACGAGCAATTTGATGTTGATCACCTCAGAGAGAGAGCGGATTAAATTTATTTTTAAAAGTCAGCATATATCTTACGGAATCGATCATTGATTTCCTGAATACCGTCATCAAATCAATGACTCCATTCTCATTACTGAGTCATCGATAAGTTAAAAAGTAATAAGCGAAGCACTCATCATGTTCAGCTTCTGAATTTTACGATTAACATGAGGTAATTAACAGTCCTCAGTCTTCTTGGATCAGCGATCATCAGCTGTGTCTCTTTCGGTAAGGAGGACTCACATGTAAGGTAATATGTACTAGATAAGCAAATCAGTTACGTGTAATTGGTAGATATTTCTTTACAAGCTAATTTCCTTTCATTCAAATCGGTAGCTTTTGAGACTTAGATTAATTAACCTTTCTTGTAAACAATAATCTTTATCAATGTTCGGCTTCTGCTCTGAAAGTGTATAAATTCTGTTAGCACGGTTTCGCAGATCTCGCCACGTGTAAGCCCTCGAGAAAGTTAAGAGAAGCATATTATGCACGTTTTGAAATACGTCTGGTACTTCACTTTTTCTTTTATCCACGAGTAGGAAACTTGTAGCATTTGTGGTAGAATAAATTTTGGACTTTATAAGAAACATTGTAGATATTTAAAGAACGATTCAAGCTCTCATGACATAATCAAAATTCAGTCGGGAAACGTGTAGAGCAAAATAGGATAAAACTAACGCAATGAAAATAGAAGTTTTTACCCTCTTGTAATTTTATTTCAACACTCTTGTAATGTACTTGACACAAGTATTTTCATTTTTTGATTCTTTCAATATCAGTTGAAGAGCAAGTCTTGTAATGGCAAGTGTTCTGAAAGAGGATTAAACTTCAACTATAATTTATTATTATTAATATGAGAATAATTTTTATTCTAAATTACGGCAAATCTTTTTAAATTAATGTCTACCGACTTTCAATGAGCAGAATTATGTAGATGGAATATCAACTTGCTTTCCGTGATTAGGCAAAGGTGATATAAACTCAGTAGCTAGCTCTAAATCCAAAAACGCGGCTCTATATCGCCGTAAATGTTACATACGGCGTTACGGTAATTTTTGAGTTAATCGGTCCAAGTAAGACTGGTATCGCCATTAAACCACATTTTCACGGGTGCGAAAACTTCAATAACAAAACTTATTCCGTACTTCAGTGACCATCCTCACATCAATGCAAAGACAACTCCCCTAAGAGAATAATATTATTGTAGTGGGTAAGTAATTAGATACCGTAAGCCAATGTGTTTATCGACACTCTACAATGCCGGCTTGCTGCATTTCAATGTCGTTGCGTTATTACTTCTTGGCCAAATAATTAACAGAGTTACTTTTAGCTTCTGGAAGCTTTTAACTCAACCCGCTGATGCTATAACATATTTAGTAGATACTTTGGTTACAACTGTTTGTCACGGCTGAATGCATTTTTTTAAGAAGTAGTTTTTCGGAAGGCGTGTATTCCTCTAACTTTAAACTTGCGATTAATTTAGGTAATGTATAAAATAAAGAGTTACATATTCCTGAACCACAGCTAATAACTGCAACCGGCAGATGTTATTTTTGCAAATGATGTTTCTTTTCGTTTCCACGAGAGGGCTTCGATCTGTTCCTACTAAATTAGTTCAAACGTAATTTCCCAGAATACACTTTTAACAGGGGTGATTCTGTCACCAGTATTTCACATTCAGTTAACCGATTTTTAGCAAACTCTTTGTACATTCATCAACGCAAAATAGCTTGAAAGCAAGAATAATCGGAACTCGAAACAAAGTTTTTGTCGTGCTGAGCGATTTTATGATTGTCGGTCTATTTTTCAAACGTTTGATTCGTCGAATGAACTCATATTGTAGGTTTTAAAAGAATAATACGCTGGAAGTGAACGACGTTGAGTAAGACGAAGAACCTCACATAGAAGCGTAATTCATAACAGCATCAGTTCAGTAAAGTCAAGATCTCTGTGTGATGAGAGTCTTAAGTTCGGCCAAAACTGAAATACGAAGTAGAAGTTGCATTTCGTGTCTTAAACACATTCCTAAACTAATTCAAGATGATGCAAGCATAAATTGTGTGCAGTTTGTATTGTAAAATAACCCCCTTCCCACATAATCCACAGACTCAACTATAAACGACAGTTGCCCAATGCACCGAGTAGCATTTGATCAGCCCTTCTGCCTTGATGGGTAAAATTTCGGCAGGAAAAAGATAAATCTTCGAAGCGTAATACTGCCTTCGGTTTAAATTCAGGCCAATTCAAGAACGGAATTTATTCCATGACAGACTGAGAATTCATACGAACTAATTATAAAAGATAGCTGAAAAACGTTTCTGTCAAAACGTGTATGGCGGTTATAAAGAATTTGATTAAGCAGTAACTCAGCAACCATCTCAGAACAGTCTCAACTGGTAAGTGCCTCAGCTCCAGCTTGTCTTTGAACTTTCATGATGACATATGAAATTTCTCTCTCTTTTAGGCCATTGATTAATTTTAGTTACTAAATTAGTGTTAAGAGAATTAGAAACAGGTAAGGCAAAAAATTATTCCGTTTTGAAAAGTTTCTTTCAGCAATGGATTAAAAAAATCTACAAAACATGAAAAAACTAACATGTAGTGATATTATTTTTACAACAACGCTTATCTTTAAATCCATTCTACGTTTTATAAATTAAAATTAAAGAATAAGTGAGGGCGAAGATTCACAATTTCATTTACATTACATGAAGATTTGAAACTTATCTATCAGAGTAAATTCTCCCGAAGTGTTTGCGCCTGTTTCACCTCGTAGTAAACGAAATCTTTGAAAGATAAAAAGGTGAACTATACATTTACAACTTTTAAAAATTATTTTAACATTGATTCTGTGACTAAATCAATAATGGATGAGCATATCCAAAATATGTAAATTAAATATTCACACCTCTTAATTTCTGCTTATAAAAGAGGAGAAATTGAAGGCTGTGTCCTTTGGACGACAACAGTATATAACAGCATAGAACTTCGATCAGCGTGTCACTATGTACTGCAACTCGATAGGTTAACTTTCAACGGAACAAACAATATCCTATATGTTTGAAAAGAATATGAATCAAAATACCGTTGCGTGTGACCGACTCAGTTAGATGTTGTCTGTAAAGATGTAAACCGAATAAAATATCCTAAGACTGGGCCACGCGGGGGCTCTTAAGTTCTGATGTCCAATTTATGTCTGTTTGTAGCAAACTGAGAAAAACGCGTCTTTTCTTAATAAAAATGTTTTGGTCCTCGATGTGATACGCAAAAAAAAGGAACCCTTTTTTTCGTGCGAACAAATTCATCTACGCCCTTCAAATTTACATCTCTGGTTTTTTATCACGAAAGATTGTGATAAATAACTTATGCACTTTTACATCCTTCGCTTTCATGAAGAGTTAGTGAGATCGTTTTCACAATCGACTCTAGTCTGAGAAAAGGATAGCTTATTTATTTTCTTTCCCAACTTGAACCTATCTATTAACATGCATGCATTCGGCATATGAGTATAGACATTTACCTCCGTTTACAATTATTTAAGGTTTTATAAACGAGTTATGCTTCACCACACCTAACGTTTTTACGGCAGGTGATGATTAAAGTATGTTAATTCTATCGGTTCGGTACGGTGTGAGAAAAAGAAAGTATTCATTTTACTTTGCTGCATTAATGAAGGACAGCACCTGCATATTTTTATCAAAATTAAAACCTATTCTCTATTTAAAAAAGTCTCCAATGAAGAGTGATAGCTATTAGTGTGGACAAATTGTAAAAGAGGCAGATGTCAGAGGAATTGCTTGAATCGAGAGCGAAGACGATATTGCAGTAAGAAAAAGGTATGGTACTTTTTTTTTACAAAAGAAATATGATTTGGGACTCAGTAAGCAAGCTGATGCGTTGAAAATGTTTAGTGTGTTGAATTTCAGTTAATCTTAAACTGGATGGATGTTTCAGTTTCATTCGGTTGTAAATCAAGATTATTGAATTGACTATCAGGTCAGGGAGGTTTTCCTCACGGTGGCATTTTTAGCGGAAAAGTCCTTAACTTTGCTAAGGTTATCTTGAGAGTGGTTACGGTAGAATTCTTCTTTTTCGTTAAATTTTTAATGAGTTCTAGGCCTGTGTATTTGTTTTCATGTGGTAAACTCGTAATGAGAAATTTTTTTCACGAATTTTTTTTCTTACCAATAATTTACAAACAATATTTTGTTTAGAGTCTGGTAGACTCTTCTTCTGCATCACCGCTTTTCTTGTCCTCGGAGATGGTGAAGCGGGTATGCTAAGTTTTTCGGCAACAGAAAATTTACCCTGTTGAGCTGCCTCTTGAATAATTCATAAGAAATGACTCTTGATGACTCTTATTTGACTGCACAGAATGAGAAAAAACTGACACAAGACTTGGAAGAGTTCCGATATTTTACGAGGAGACCATAACTTTTGTTTCTGGGCATGACCACTATTCTCAAACAAAGTGCATTGCGTTTATCGTTAAACAGAACTTTACGCTGAGTAGCGGTAAGTGAAGTAAAACGTTTCACTTCGGAAAAAAGGTTTAACAACGCCCCTTACTGTAGTGTAAAAAAGCTAATCTTTGTTTCTTATTCATAATTCAGTCAAGGTGAGGACTTTTGAATTTCTGATTACTTCAGTTTAACAGAAAAACTGAGCCAAAGGTCGGGTAAATCTTTCATGACACTTTTTTATTTGATAAGGCTCTATATCATTCGGATGCATTGGTGATCATATCCGGAGATGGAAATGCAAGAATTAGGAAGCCATGATGAATCAGAAATCGAACATGAGCGAAACGCAAAAAACATGTTCTGCTCCCTCATCAAGGACTTTTGTGACTACACATCTGCGCATGGCCTGGGGAGGATAATGGCGGCGACACACTGGGTGCGAAAAGTACTCTGGATCATGCTCCTCTTGGTTGCGATGACGATTATGACGATTCAAGTGAACGTTTTGTACCAAAAATACCAAAGCCGGCCTCTGACTACCTTGGTCACAGTTGAAACAGCCTCGGTATACCATTTTCAATCTATTTTACGAAATTTTTAATATTGTTTCATTAAATGTAAGAATGGGACCTCAAAGGGACACTGGAACAGAATCGTTAAAATTATATCCAGCATGCACGAAATACCATAAAATACGAGCCACTATGGTTCCACGCTCGGAGGATCAGAAGTCTAAACATAGACAACACCCTCAATGCTATATCTTCCATTTTATTTCATAGTGAAAGAGGCGGGAATGCAAACGTTTCTCTTTCAACAAAAAACCGCTCTGGCGAAAAAAAGTGATTGTCTTTTTGCTAAGACCTCTTTAAAGCGCTTCCCCTCGGTACCAAGGTTATCAAAATATCGCCTCTTCCTCTGTAGTGTTCATAAATCTTTTTTAAAATATGCTCTCGCCTAAGTTCGCGTTATCAGTTGACGGTCTCAAATTGATTATTAAAACATGTCTCAACTTTCCCGCAATTAATTTCATATTTTGCAGAGCCTCCCATTTCCAGTTGTTACATTCTGCAACTTCAATGCTCTCAAAAATGATTCTCTACAAGCTGCTAAAGAAGATGGAATGGATATTTTCAAAAACCTCTTCACAAGTGAACTTGGTAATGCTGACAGATAATATAATTGTTTAAGAAGTTATAGTTCCGCAGATAAGCAGGCACAAATCTACTACCAAAGTCTACTTTTTGAATACCTCGGTCACGAGAATCTACTGATTTTCTGAATTCTACCGGAGTATGTTTCTTTCCGACTTGTAGTTTAACACATGTTGAATTAATCGCATTGTAACATAATGAACGACGTAGAGACATTATTGGCGGACATGGGTATACATTTCTGACTGATGTTTTTTATCGTGTTTATCTGCCGCTGATTCAGCTAAAAACATCTCAAGTAGCCAGAGAAGACGACGATCAAATGATCCTGCTCCAACTCTAGAAAGCCTCGCTGATCAGGAAGGTTCAAGTTATGATTCTGATGACGATGATGACGGGAACCTTTCTTGGGATGACGACGAAGAGTTTCAAGATCCGTTTAAGAAAGACCCAACCTTTTTAAAAAATGAGCAGCTAGCGGTTCTTATGGCTAAGGAAGATCTTAGACTTTTAAGCATGATAGGTCACCAATTTGACGATATGGTTTTGTCCTGCACTTACAGGGGTGTTCCATGCAAGTAAGTTGTACGTTAGCTGTTTTCTCTTACGTTAAAGAGCAATTTGCAATTGAGTTTCGAAAGCCATCCTGGATTGCTGGTTCAGTTTACTTCACTTCGCTCCGTGATTGGTCTAGAAAATTGACGCCACTATCTTAACCAATCAAGATAATCAAATACAAAGCTAATACCAGTCCCAACTTGACCGCTTACTTTTTCCCGCGCCTCTAGCAGGTCACCATTGGTAAATGATGACTTCGACCTTTGTTCTGAGAGGTAGTTGTGTTCAATTTGGTTTTTGTTTTTCGACAGTCAACTGAAAATTGCCCTAATATCATTTTCGTAATAGAAGACTTTGATATTGGCAAAACGTTCGAGAACTTCAAAAAGATATTTAGCCTAGAACTATTACGCATATTCTTCTACCTACATTTCGAACTTCAGAAAAATTGTTTCAGTTAAGTTCTTCAAGGCAAAAATGATTTTACCAATCCTCAGAGCAAAACTAACAGGCAGAGAAGGCAAAACGCAGTTTGCACTCTGACCAAATAAGATTCACATTACCCCTTTTGTTTCAGGAATTTCTCTTCTGTTTTTTGGAATAAGTTTTGGCATTATAAGTATGGCAACTGTTTCGTATTTAACAGTGGAAAAACGAAATCAGGGAAGGACGCACCAATCCTAAAATCCAACAAACCAGGACCATCTCATGGTAACGTCAAGTCAATGATTTCCTTATCTCCTTATCTATATGGTACCATCTGGTTCCAACCTGTACATTTACGCAAGAAGTAAACCAACTGAGGAGGATTCAAGCTGTCATATTTGATTCACGAAGACAGCACGGAAGCGAGGAGTGAAAACGAATTATTTGAGGGAACCTTAAAAATTGATTGACTATCATTTTCTCTCATTAATGCCTTAACGACATTGGTGAATTTTTAAGTACTTTCAAGTATCCTTGATTTGCAGACTGCGCACGTGAAGATGGCGACCATATTAGCGGGCGCGAATGTTTATAAGTGCCACCAGAGAGTAAAGAAGTATCTTGCTAAAGAATGGTGTATATCTTTACATTTACGAGCTCCTGTGAAACTCGCTGACAGGTGTTGCAGAACTTGCATCATTTCACCAGCCTATTATTTCCAAATAATGATAAGAATGTTTATGCTACTTTTTAGGACTCATCTTGGAACTTAACATAGAACAGGAAGAATACTTGGGACAAATGAGTCCAGAGGCAGGAATTAAACTTGATATCTCTCCTCATGGTGAGATGCCATTTCCACTGGAAAGGGGCCTGAGTCTTGCTCCAGGATACGCTACCATGATTGGAATGAGGAAGGTAAAGGAATTCAGCAGCCCGATCGGCCAGCAATGACATTGGTAAACAAAGTCGGAATGAAGGATCTTTGCGGTTGGCAATGATCTCAAGGACAGCACACGCCCACAAAAATGAATTTGGGGAAACTAAGTACATCGGTCTTAGCTTAATTTTTTAATGTTATTTAAAACATAAATGAAATATCAAGTGAAGAAATGATCCTCACGTGTAAAGTGTAGTTCAAGCAAATACAGATAAGACGCCTGAAAATTTTCAGGTCTCGATAGGATACGAACCCGAGGGCATTCCAACCAACTGAGCAACGAAGCCGCACGTTAAGAGTGAGGCATTATAGTGCGTTTTTCGTTTCCGATAAGAGACCTGATTACAATTAAAATCAGTGAAATTTACCCAACTAAAATTGTGTAAAAAAATTATTCTGTTATTAATAGGAGGTGATAAAGAGAGAGGATCCATTTCAGAGCAAGCGATGTTTGAAGGAGGTCACCAAAGATGATACTAACTTGTATACAAAGCATTTTGGAGCAGTATACTCTTCAACGGTACATTGCTGTTGTCTACGTTATTATATTGTCGCTATATGTCTGTCGTTCTTTCGTTTAAGCACCAAAATCCTCTAATCCTATTCGTTGTCTTAAAATTCATCCCAGGCATGTAGAAAATCCTGCTTGGCGTACAATCAGCTCAGAAAGTGTCGATGTATGCAATACCAATTTCCAGGAAGTTCCAAGTATGGTATCTGTAGCGTCATCGACAAATCAACACGTAAGACTTCACACAAATTTTTTAAGTTATATTTTTTTTGGTAGTTTTTCCAAATACCTCTTATTAACTTCAACAAAATTTTGTCCTTTGTCCAAAGTCAAATGTCTCAGCAACGTCCAGAAGATGTTTAAAGAGAACAACTTGAATTGTACTACATCCTGTCCGCCACCTTGCAGGTAAAGACAACTAAAATTACAAGAAATGTCCAAAGCAAGTCATAAAATTCAGGATATTTTACATGTTTAGGAGTTACAATTTTCTTTTGGGACAAATTACTGCACAAAATTATTGCTTATAACTACAACGTAAAAGGCAAGTTGAAACAAAAAATTTAATGCAATTATCGTTTCTGACACTCTTGGAAAAAGAATGCTATAGATTGCGCTTCTCGATCGTTTTGTGTCCCATTTTTTGCACTGGACTGAGAGAGAAGGAGGAGGTGCCTCCCCTCTCCATTCTTCCTCCTTCCTCTGAGAACACTATCAACATTAAAAATACCGTCATCTTAACATTTCCCATTGTTGAGTTTGACGATGTACTCTTCTTAGATGTTTCGCCCGCCTAATACCTTAGCTGCCCGATAAAAGAAACACAGCGAAAGTTGTGTTTATAACGTATAGAACTTAAAACTGTTGATGTAAATATCCTGATACTCTGATCTTCAATTTGTTTTCAGAGAAGAAGGCTACAAAATTAGTTCTTCGTTTGCTCTTTGGCCATCGGAGAAGTATGAGGTACAGCTTATGTTTACTGATCATTTTTTGGATGATATTAACAATAATAACGTTCTTCAGCCCTTAATAAGTTTGCTATGATCCACTTATAGCCAATCTACGAGAAGGCTCTGCAGAAGGAATATAAAATTTTGTTCACCAAGAGAGGATCATCTCACAGGTAAATAATATTCATATCAAACGATAACCGAAGCTCCTCCAGGATAGCCACTTTAAGGAAGTAACTGTTGAGATAGGGGGTACTTTACAGAATGATTTAAACGTATTTAATAATCTTAAAATCCAGTCAAAATTTATTTATTTTGATGAGTTCTAAAATAGTTGTAGTCTTTTTTAACTTTTCTTTTAAATCAAACAGAAAAAATGTTTGCAAGTTACAAGTCTTCTACGAAGAACTCAACTTGGAAGTGATAATGGAACGGCGGTCGTATGAGGTATGCATGTTAATGAATTAGACGAAATAAGGAATTCTTACTTCTGACAGCAGTCGTCAAAGGTAGTCATGTGGTAATCTTAATAAAACATGCCAGTATTTTTTTTTTAACGTTGAGGTTGACGAACCTGGAAAATTGATAACGAGTGTTTCTGTCCTTTAACAGATTGAAGATTTTGTATCAGACATTGGCGGTCAGTTGGATCTGTGGATTGGTTTCTCCGTGCTGACTGCAGCTGAGTTCTTAGAGCTGTTCATGCTCATATTTCACGCAGTCTTCAAGAACTGCGGGGCCAAGAAGACGCAAAAGTCAAACCACATCCATCAGGATATCGTGGCCTAAACAGACAAAGCTGTGGAATTCCCCTAGCCTGATAATTACCAATTCAAAACCAAATTTCAACGGGTGTACATCTTTGCCACGATGGTGTGGAACGTTTGATTACGTGATGTGAAACAAGACTTCCTTATCCTTATTTTATGGTTTAAAAAGAGAAAAACTCTTGTTATTGGTTACGACAAGGTGTCAGGGGAGAGCATTCTATAATAATTAATTCACTTTGTGTTGTGAAACGATAGCATCGTTGCTTGACTTTTTTTTCGTTCCGTTTTGTATTTCTGTGTTGATTTTCGGATTTTTTGAACGTATCCAATGCAACAGTTTCACTCATATATTTAACTTAAAAATAGAAGAGAGAACGTGTCTTTTTCACACAAAAGAATATAGTTTCCGTTACCGATTAATCGTCACACGAGGCACTGTGCAAAGCTTTTTCAGTATGTGAAGGTATCAGGCTGTAGCTATTTTCAGTTCCTTTCAGTTCGGTCTTGCCTGTTACAACCCCATAGTTTCTTATTGCATACTGAAGCATCGATCATACTTATAATTACAGAACCTTGTCTTCCTCCTTCAATGCGACTTGAAGGTCTCTCACTGAGTGCTGTGCTACAAATATTAAACCAGGAAATAACAAAATATAGGTCGCTTGATAATTTTAACTTAGTCACTGATATCGCTCAATTTAATAACAGGTCAGTTTTGTTAAAAAGTGATGACTTTCATTGCTACACAACCCACATTCTCATTCAATTGTTTTGAATAAAAAACCATCTTTCAGTTTGATATCAAGTTAAGTTGATGTTTTTATTTACATGTGAGTTTCATCCGCAAGGACCTCCCTGCACATGTCTTCACTGATCCCAGCCAGTCGAACATCGATCAAACCGAACCGATGAATCAGTTTTGATCAATTTGATCAAGTGCCGAGATCATAGATGTTGCCTAGCTACAGAGCAGTCACAAACAAATGGGATTAACAAAAACAGAAAAACAGCACGTGCGTGGGTGGTTCTTCCGTGACGCAGATATGCTCGTTCGACCACACTTCCGGAGAAATATTCTCACGTAAATCCTTACCACCTGATTAGTTAGGGGTTCGGAGAAAAGCGCGAGTAAGCAGGTAGACTGCCAGCTTGTCTTGATCAAACAGGCTCCTTGCTTTGTTAACGACGTCCTATCAATTAGAACAAAAATGATTTCTCCAATTCTCTGAAACTTCATTATTTGAGGAAAGAAACCTCGCAACTGAATCGAAAAGCACATCAAGGTCTGTTGAAATAACGGAGTAAAATTGGAGGATATTCAATTTTCTATATGTAATTCTTCTTCCAGTAGCGATTAAACGTTGTTGCTTTTGACCAGGTTGATTTTCACGGTGTAGTCTCACCGACCAAGTTTCCCTGCACGTTAACAATGGCTGCCTGTAACATTGTCTAACGTTTAGAAATTTGTCACTTGTTATTGCTTTACTGTGATAATTTTGTTTTCACTCTTAATTGAAGAATCTTAAAAAACAGTCATAGCTTTTATCGGATAACACTCCATACGAACAGTTATTGATTACTGTCCCATGACGTCAAGTAAACTTTTTATACACAGGTCTGGAAACTGAAACACGCGATTACTTACTCATAGATACTTTTGATTTAAGTAGCAATCAGAAATGGAAACTGGTCAATAATCTATTTTAGCTGACATAAAATTGTACACAACCCGTATTTCCACTGCGAATTCACTTTTCAGGCTGTGCAAATAAAATAGCTAATTATGCAGTTCAGACAAAAACTATTTACTATTGTGCACAACCTATTTTTCCACTGCGAATTCACTTGTCAGGCTGTTCAAATAAAAGCGCTAATTATGCTGCTCAGACAAAAACTATTTACTCCATAACATTTATTAGGCGTTGTAGTAAACATAGCAATTTTAATTGTGCGGTTTTTTGTTATGCAAAACAAGGTCAATAACAAGGGTTAGTAATATATCCAACGACATATTTAGCATAGAAATGGTGCGGAATGTTTTGACGTCAGAGTGTTTTCTTGCCCTTGATTGCGCGCATTGGCCCAAAGATTAGATCACTACACGATGACCGAACGACGGACCGCTGTAGGAGAAGCCCACCGAACACCAATCGTTCACCTGTGCTCGTTGAAAAAGAGTTCTTCGTCACGACGTACATCACCAAGGAGCCGATATACACCGTAGCTGTAATCAATCAGAAAATTTACTCCACTCGCACGCCGAGAGGAAAAGGTTCTCAGGTAACCAAGCTTGAATTTATTGCATTTTTTTATTGTGTTATTTTACCAACAACCGTGCCATTCAGAGTCTTTTAACCGCCATCTGAACATACACTTGTTTGTTAAATCGAATGTTGTTGTGGAGTGGGTCGCTGCTCTCGAACATTTTCAATTAGTCAGTTCAAAGCGAGCAGCGAACAATAAACTGCCGATTAATCCCATCGCTAAATAATCTGTTGTTGGTTTTGTATTTCCGATTGGCTGTATGTTCTTTGTTCACCTGCGGAACACATCATTTTATTTCAATATCTTCTATACTACTGAGGAGCAAACTGTAAGCGCTATAAGATGCTGTCAGTTGTTCATGCTTGAATGAATTAACAGCCTGAGATTTCACAGATCTCATTTTACATTTGAGTGAAGAGCAAACTCCTTGACAAAAATGTCGACTCAACTTGTGCTTTAAAAGCAACAATAACAAGAATTTGAAAAAATTCTCACCAAGCCAAGAATTTTCCCGTGACTGACGCGAGAGTACCTGACTTTAGATGACCAATTACACTTTGTAACATCTTGTCCTGAATATCCAAGGGAAATATGGGGTGTCTGTAAATGTATAACCGAAAAAAAGGAAATCATTGTATTTTCACCATCACCAAATGACACCTGTAATTTTGACACAGTCTTTAGAAAATTATGAACAATTATTTTAAAAAATTAATTTTTCCCGATTAATTTCTTTTCGAGGCTAATGTCAACACAGGCGACGGACAAATACGAAGGGGCCAATATGCTTACGAGCTAGAAAACTCGCTTGACAGATTTAAAGTAGTACTCTCAGTAATTAATGTGAAAAAAATTTATTGGTTTTGAGATTCAAATTTTTTTAAAGTGCAGAAAAACCTTTAAACTGAAATGAAATGTGTGGTTTACGGAGTTGGGTTCAGTTTTCAAGTAATTGTAAATCTTATCTCCCTCACATGTTCAAAGTTTTCTCCCTATCTCGTGCGAGAGTACAAAACTATCAATAGTCACCTGAATTATCAAGCTCGTTGGTAACTTTAGAAGGCTTTTGCAGTTGAGTTAGCATGAAAACTGACTGTCCCAAAGCAAATTTCCCAGGAATCTGACAATTCCTTTTAGCATCAATGGAAAACATTTAATTTTGCAGTGTTAATCAACTAGTGATGGGAGATAAGGGTCAATCCTCTCGGCTTCAGCTCTTCCTTAATGGAAGTGAAATGTTCGTATATAATGGACTACATTATCATAAGTATGCTGTAACCTTTGTTTGATTTAGTCAAGCCCTCCTCCTTAATTTCCTTTTCAATATCATTTCCCACCATGTGATAATTTTGTACAAGCTTGTATATCAACACTTAAAATTCTAATTCGCAGAAAGCACGCTATTCGGCCGAGAATCAAGATAATGAAGATGTATTACCCACATGTACCACTGTTGAATTGTTATGTGTTTCACTTCTTTAATACGCGATTTTTTTTCCGTTTGATCGTATCAGATAAGCATGGGTCGTAAAGCTATTGATCTGATACTGTCTTTGCTTTGCACCATCTCCATAGGATCTGGATGGGCCATAACGTATTGAGCTGCATCTGAATGTATTAGTCAAAGATTGAAGGCTATTCTTAGCAGATTAATACTTTAAAATACTCTTCCTTATCATTAATATAGCGCAAAAAGGAAAAGTTGGGTTGATATTGAAGAAAAAAAAGAGGATCTCAACTCATTCTTTGTGTCAGCAATTAATCACGGAGAACTTAATTATTATTAGAGCGCTGAAAAGCAGTGAGTTGGTGTACATGCTGAGAACTTTGTTCAGTTTAGATTGTAAGACAATCCAATTCGGGTTCATTGGAGACTAGCTTACTGATCACCAACAAAAAGTATAAAAATATTGACGCTATGCTGGTTTGGTGAGCGTCAGACACTTTAGAATGACGTTACTGCCCAAACTAGACTTTTTATTTTTACTAACTGCTGTCAGTAATTTGCACTTAGTGTACTTGATTACCTTCATTAATCATAAATAGTATATATTTTTTTGGTTCAATGTCAGTCAATTGTCCAGTGGTTTTCTTGGTCTGGTTTAAGGATTAGAGGAAGAGTAAGCAATGTCTGGCTTTTTATCATCGTTTGTCGCTGGTACAAAACGTTCTGTTTTTTGGTGTGTCCGGCTAAATGCTCACCAAGGGTCGAAGCAATGTCTCCTACAAAAAGAGTACTTCCAAGAATTTCTAAGCTGAGAGGATTTTGCCTTCAAAAACTATCAAGAGAACAAGTATTCACTCTGGTTACGGTGTAACACGCTTACCGTTTGCGATTCGACTGGATTTCATAGTTGCACCATTCAAACATACTTGTGGTTTCAGGTTCGACCGATTAATATCATTATATTTTAGTGCTACAATCGTGGAAACCTCTAGTACACATAATTGGCCTATAGCTGTTTGGGGACTCTTTGCAAATATAAACTCTACATGTATAAAAAGAAACAGCCTGTACCTTTGCAACTGACGCCTTATTACAATAAATGTACATCGGCAGAATTTGCTCACAAGAACTCTTCCCTGAAGCAACAACAACGAAAAAGGAGAGGTACGCTTTCAAGCTCCTTTACAGGCTCCAAATTTTATCACTTTGTTATAGGTTTAAGATTAAAAACTCGTATTAGTTTGTAGTCATTTGCATTTGTAAAGATATGAAATGAAATGTCTGGCCGGGGAACGAGAAATACATTATTGTGCTATTTTATAATAGTTTTTGCTAAATCTACACATGTAACACAAAAGTAGAAATCTCTTCAACAGCATGATATAATTACATGACTTCTTTTTTGTAACAAGTAAGAAATTATTTTTCGAAATGAATAGAAAAACTAAAAGGAAATCTTCTTTTATTGCAGGTCGACCACATCTAACACGTATACCTAGCTCCTTGCTACAATTCTCTGTATTAACGAATTTGTAGCTTATTCGGTTTCAAAATTCGATTTCATATAGTATTAAGAAAAAGTTGCTATCATTTCAAGGGGAATTTGTAGGATCAGAGAGTTACTGCATTCGATAAAAAGAAATTTTAAATCTATGATTCACAGGTGAAAACATAGCCATGAAGACGATAATATCCTCCAATTAAAATAATTTTGAGAGCGTATTGATGAAAACTGTTTTGATAAAACAATGACAACTGTAGGTGATAAAGACCTGGTTACTTGAATAATCATCACTGCTAAATACGAGATAGAAATTAATTGCATAAAAGCTTCATTTCTTTTCATCATATGCAAATTGACTCTAAATGTATTGAGCCTGCACTTTCAAATAAGAGTCATCTGCTTATTGTTAGCGTTTAAAACATTAACATAAGATTCTTCATCCTACATTACGAGATCTAAACGCTGAAAGACGACTGAGACTGGGAATAACTTTTTAAAGACCTGCCGGGATATGTAGATGCGCCTCTCGCGCAGGTGGTGCAGACATCTAATTTTTTGGGCATCAATTTACCTTTATGAATTTTCATAATATTCCAGAGCTCGTTGGTCTTGCTTTGATCCATGCTCAGAGGATAAACCAGTGACGCCGAAATAGTGCTTGGCATGGAAAATACAAACCCTTTTCAACGGCAAAACGATTTTGAGATGTCCGTCAGAGGAGGAATGAAAGCAGCTGGTGAAGACGTCAGCCAAGATATAACAGATAATGAGGACAAAACGTATTCTATACGACATTTGATTCTGGACTATTGTGAATACACGTCTGGCCACGGTCCACCGCGCATCATCGCCTCAAAACAAACAATAAGAAAAATATTCTGGACGTTGTTATTTCTTGCAGCATTGGCGATGTCTTCATGGCAAATAAACACTCTGTTTAATACGTATAAGGCAAGACCGCTGAGCACTCATGTCTCGATAAAACATGAAACGGTGTGTATATCTCTTTCTTACCCGGGCTCTAAATTTTTAATTCCACGGAAGACGCAAGCAGTGACTTTGTGATCATTGAGAGCAAGCCCAACTTCATGCACTTATCATATCATTGAGTTGTATTCTTGGGGCAAAACTCTCACTCACAGTAAGTCAGGAGTAAAAATGGAGACCATAACTGTTATGAAAAACTCACAAAATATTTAGGATTAGCACTTAAAGTTTTTCATTCTGTTTTGCAATTTTTAGTTGATTAATATTGGAGAGGTGCTCACTTAATCGACGTGTTGAACGTTTTAGCACCGCTTTTTCACCAAGTTCACTATTTTTTAACATCTTCTTGTTATGTTTCCAGAGTCTTGACTTTCCTGTGATTACAATTTGCAACTTCAATGCTGTGAAAATTGGTAACATTGAAAATTTCCCTGAGGAGCTGAAGAAAGATATTCAAGCAGAGACTACCAGTAAGAAATATGTGCCCTAAACTAATAATAACATCACTTTACAGCGCCCTGAACTAATCACCTACAACAAGTGTAGATTATAGAGGGCATTGTTCGCAGGATGGCAATTTGAGGTATAAACAGACATCGCTCATTTTGCGCTGTTCCACTTTCATGGTAAACGGGGCTCCGTCTCGAATTTTTAAGCTTCGATTTTAAGTTTAGTATTTTCATATTGATTTCTAGACCCTTCTTGTTTGATGTATTTTGCGATCTCATTATCATTATCATCAGTATTATTATCAACATTATAGGCTCTAACCCACCGACACGAGGGAAGAGAGCAGTAAACCAACCCTCCTCGTCCAATAGTCCAAATAACCTTGACTTCTCCGAAGAGGAAGAGGAAGGAATTGAGAACCCGGATGATCTGGATGAGGATTTTAAGAATAGGGAGCAAATGATAATGATAATGGCTGAGGCTGGTGTTGAAGCACTGAAACCCCTTGGTCACCAGTTTAAAGAGTTTTTCTTGTCGTGCAGATACCGCGGAATCTCGTGTGGGTAAGTTTAAAGTCTCCCATTAAATTTGCAAATGAAGAATAAGAAGAACTTTTCTTATTCAAATTGTTCAAAGTCACGTTTTGTCCGTATGGGTTCGTGGGACAAATCTGCCCAAAAAGCTACTATGACTAGTTTCTCTTTGCTCTCTTGTCTGGCTAAGGCTGAATTCTTAAAATTCAGTTCGAATGCATCACCTGAAAATGAAAAAATGACCTTTGGAGCGTTATATTAGCTGTATTGTATCTCAAATTAACAGATTACCTCAAATTAACAAATTAACTCAAATTGACAAATTAAACAATTCACACTGCAGCAAATAAAAAGCGTATTTTCTTGATCTGCATTGTTATCGGAGTATTTGTTTCCTAGAAATTTCGCGAGTTCCTATTGGACAAGCTATTGGCATTATACGTACGGAAACTGTTATGTTTTTAACGCTGGTAAAGATAAATCAGGAAACAGTGCTACAGTGTTGAAGTCTAACAAGCCCGGCCCATCGCATGGTAAGATAGCTGTTTAACTGAATTTATATTGATTATTTTAAGGCAGAAAAACTCTGAGCTCTTATTCCTTTACTTACGCGTGAGTAAAATGCACTAGGGAGCATTTCTAAAGACTGGTCCGAGGGAAATCTCTAGAAACAGAGCCCAGACACGATCCCAGATGCATCATGGCTGTAATTTCGCTAAGCAATGTGACTAAGAACGAACGACATTTTTCGGCCCTAATTGCACTGACCAGGAAGTCAAATGCCAGCAGACTCAAGATAACGATCACGCGAATTTTAAAAATATTGAATTAGTCATTATATCCAATTAAGCACATATAGTTATAACTGTCTATGGCATGAAAATAATCCGTTATAATCTGTACTGGAGAAGTTTACAATTTCATTTCCTAAAAAACATCAATTGAAAAGAAGTTGACTTAAGAAACTACGTTTAAATGGCTTAAATGGAACAGCTTCTTCTTTCAGGACTAAACCTCGAGCTAAATATTGAGCAAGACGAATACATTGGAGCCTTCACAGAGGAAGCTGGGGTTAGGATAGACATATCGAATCAAGGAGAAATGTCGTTTCCTCGCGAGAAAGGACTCAGTGCAGCTCCAGGATTTGCCACGTCAATAGGAATACGGAAGGTGGGAAACTCTCATCTAAATTGTAATCAAGTATTGTTATATCGATTATCTCAGAGAATTTGCAAGGAGGGCTCGTTTTCAGGCAAAACTCGTTCAACGAGTTTTCGCCCGCGGCTGCCTGGCGGATGGTGCGCGCGCTTGAGTTCAGTTCCAACAGCCCAGGTCGTAGGAGTTTGGCTTGGTCATTGTGTTATGTTTCTAGAAAAAGGCACTTTACTTTATCTGTGCTTCCACCAAAGAGTATAAATTGGTATCTGCCGTCTTTAAGATAGGCTGGACGATAAATTGAGAGGGCTGGGGCAGGCGGGGGGAAGGTAAATTACGTTGGTTTTAAGACCTCCGGCGGTAAGGGCCACACGGCATATGTGCTTACTCCTTTTTATCAGATTAATTATCAACCTGACCGTCGTTACCTGCTATTGAAGTCATAATTTCATAAAGAGTAACTTTTTAAAATTTTTCATTATAGGTAGAAATCCACAGAAAGGATCCATTCACCAAAAAACGATGCCAAAACAGCTCGAGTCTAAGCGACGCAAACCTCTACAAACATAACTTTCAAGTAAACTATTCAGCCACGGTGAGAAAAAAAAAATAGAACATAGATAAGGTGGAACAGTTAATTTTTACTAAGTACAATAAACCCTTAAATTAGTACCTATGTGTGACGAAGACTGCGCTCTCACAAATCGTATTCCTCAGGGCGCATTCAGGTCATTACTGAAAATATAGAAAATAACCATCGTGTATCGTACCCCTGTCAATTCGATTACATTTTGAATTCCCGTCACTTTTTGTATACAAAGCAGCCAGGGTAACAAAATGATGGCTGCTAGCTTGACGTCATCATCGTCGTCATTACCATTATCATCTTCATCAATCTCATTGTAATCATGATCATTATCATTACTCATACCATCAAGTTTTTTAACCTCTCACCTCGCTAAAAGAGAACTTTGGTTGAAAAAAAAATTTAAGTACTTGAGGAGATCAACAGCAATCAGTTTAGCAAAAACAACATAAAACGACAACATACATTTCTGGCTGGCATGTCCTGATCTCAGACTTATTACAGCTTGGCAAAGTTTGATTCATGACCATCTATTCACTAATTTCGGATCATTCGTCCCACACAGGCATGCAAGGAATCATGTCTCGCTTATAATCAGAGAAAAGAATGCAAATGTATGGAGTACAGATTTCCTCTTCCTAATGATAAAACCCCAGTTTGCGACATCCTAAATAAAACAGTTGGTAAGTATCGATGAACTAAACCTTTGAGACATTCACTTTGAGGCAGTAAGATAGAATGCCAAACTTAATGATTTCTCTAAGATTCTTCGGCTAGAGTCATGTGTCAGGCAAGATCAATCACGTTATCGTAAAGGCAAATTTGTGGCAGGCGGAGAGGGGAATCCTCTTTGAAGGTAATCATCTAGCCTTTGGGGAAAGATGTTTGACGAGGGTTTAACAACCTAACAATGTAAACAAACATTTTCATGGAAATATAACGTTATAGTTACAAAAGGATCTCAAAATTCCAAAACTGGAATCAGTGGCGAAGATTGGAGCCAACTATAAGTTCTTAATTTAAGACAGTGATATCTCTGTGCATCCAAAATTTACAACAAGTGAGTTCTGGGATGTAGGAGGTATACATAGGTTACCAGAGAGAGGAATAAGAAGAAACCATTGATAAGAATGATGACGTAGTTTTTTTTATAACGAGGTTAATGGCCGATTTGTTCAATTGTTTTGTCGTAGTTGACTGTCTCAGCAAAGTACAGAAGGCATTTAAACGAAATGAATTGAACTGTACATTGTCATGTCCACCACCCTGCAGGTAAGAGATGAGAGATTCCTAGACAAAGCGTCAGTCAATTTGTCAGTCAACCATTCTCTCAGTCAGAGTCAGTCAGTCGGTCAGTTCGTCAGCCAGAGTGTTAGTCAGTCATTAATTAAGGCAGTCAATCAGTCAGTTAGTCAGACAATCAGACACTAAGTCAGTTAGTCAGACAATCAGACACTAAGTCAGTCAGTCGGAGGGTCAGTTATTCAGTCACACAGTAAGTTAATCAATCCACAGTCTCTCCGTATGTCAGTCAGTTGGTCGGTGAGTCATACTCTCACTCACTGTCTGTCTGTCTGTTCGCCAGTTGCTCAGTCGCCAGTTGGTCATTCAGTCAGTCAGTCAGTCAGTCAGTCCATCGCGTGTTCAGTCTGTCTGTCAGTTCGTCACTGGGTAAGCGATTGTGAAAGTAATCATAGGCGTATTCTTGCATGGTTTTTCGTAGGGAGAGTATATTTCAGCTCACATCATCATTCTCAGCCTGGCCATCCAGTGGTTACAAGGTTTGTAAACAGTTCTTAAAATTCTATGACTAAGTGGAGATAATGTTCATGTGACGTATACCTTCCAGTTTGATAATTTGAGCTTATAGCAGCCACAATTGGAAGCGCCTGACACACTCCTTAAAAAATGTGTCTTTTTGGATATCTAAACTTTGTTTTGTCCTAATTTCTTCGGTTTCAGCCTTTCTATATTGACAAGCTCAACTCGCAGGACAAATCTCATAACCTCGATATTAATTCAAATTCAAGGTAATTACCCTCTTTTTTTATTTATTTCCCAAAATTACTTTCAACCAAATTTAAACAGAGCATCTCTATTGGCCTGTGCTCAATTGTGTTCACAATGTAGAGTATTGGGGCAAAAAATATATATATAATATCGATCTTCCACTGCTTGTAACCATAGAGCGTCGTATTCAAGAGGAAAGGAAAACAGTCGAGGAAAAATGGGATTTTTCGTTCTTTCCATCATCCATATCCAATTTTTCCTTGCATGTCTGCGGACATTTGTACTGAGAGAGTCTCATAAAAGATAAAAACAACACCGCTACACCAAATGAAACTAAGTGATGCACGTGCTAGAGCATAATTAGTATCATGGACTACATATAAGATTAACACATGGACTCCACAAATGATTTATTTCCAGTAATCTTCGCTCCAATGTTTTGAAGCTAAACATATTCTACGAGGAACTAAATTATGAAACCATTACAGAGGAAAGATCTTATGAGGTATGCTTACATTTCTCTGAGGATTTTGCACTAATACTGAACACGTAGTCATCAACACCTTTTCAAGCCAGTTTGCTGACCAGTGTCCTGTTTTATCCACAGCTGGCCAATTTTGTGTCTGATCTCGGAGGGTCCCTTGGTTTGTGGATTGGAATGTCTGTTCTATCGTTTGCGGAAGTCCTGGAATTGTTGCTATTGATCGGTTACGCACTATTTAGGAAATTTCGAAGAAAGTTGAACGGAAAAATACGATCATCTTCATTTCATGGCAAAGGAAAAGGCGTTGTTTGAGAAGTCATCAAAGACGCTTGGTGGAATAACATAGTTATGAGTTAATGATAATTTAATAGCTGGATTAAATAGAGCAAAATATATGATCAATCTAACAACTATTTAAAAGAAAACTTGTTGTGTCAGAAGTGTCAGATTGCTAATAATTACCTAAGATACCTTCCAGTTATTTATATATAAAAAATTAATTGTTAAATTATATGCAATCGTACGCGTTAGAGTAGAGTTTAATTAAAAGAGGAAAAGAACAGCAACCAAAGCTACAATGATAACAACGAAAAACGAAGAAAAAAAAAAACGACGAGAACGGCACCGTTTGATTTGAAAAATAGAGGTCCTGCCAAACCCCCACTATCCATCAAAACTCCTCTTCTCCTTTATCCATTTAGCAATTTTCTCATTCATAAATTTTTATTTTCGTCGTCAAATTAAAATACATTTACACTCAATTTTGTTATTCCTTTTTTCTTTCGCGTCGTTGATGGTCATTATTAATTTTTAAATAATATTTTAAATAATTTTCCAACGATTGGTTCTTAAGATAGGCGGATTGTAAATAAATTAAATTAATTAAAGCTTATTATTCCAGAGTAATATGGTCTCCTATGTTGCCTAAAAATTAGAGAGGGACTGCTGGGTATATCACCACAGATAACAGCTAACCAAAGAGTTGAGTCTTAATTATCTATTATTTCTAAAATTTTCAATCACATTCTCCATCAATCAAGGCGCCCCACAGGTAGTCCTTGTTCTAGGCAGGTGTAAAGCAAAATTTCAGTCAAACCCTCTGATTGTTGGATAAAGGTCCGGACATTGCCGGGCAGTCAGGTCGTCCCGAGGCTGGTTTAAGGTTTTCCCAGTATTGCCTTCCAATTCTGTCAGAGAAAGAAATGACAGTGTAATAAAACAATTAACTCCGTTCGCTCCTTAATTAAAGGGGCTGTCGTTTGTCAGCCCGGTCGTCAAACTGCCTGCCCTCTCTTTCTCGTCTCCACGAGAAAAAAATAAACAAAACAAAACAAACAAACAAACAAGAGCATCAGAGCGCAAATCCGAAGGTCTGAGGTTCGATTCCTCATGGGGCCTCAGAATTTTTTCCTTGTCCCACGCTCGTGACAAGACGAAAAAACATCTTTCTTAAAAATAAATTGTTTAGTGGAAATAAAGGAATAAGACTTTACTTACTTATGGGAGGCACTGGAAGAATACTTTAACGCTTCTCCCCAAAATCCGTGCTTCGAACTTGCTGGTGGAAGCTTTCCTCGTTCATTTGACAGCTATAATATATATAACTTAAAATACGTTTCTTGTAATGTTTGCTCATGCCTTATTGAACTGTGTTTGCTTTTGTGGGGAAATCTGATACCTTTTACGTCGAGACGGAGAGAAAAGCTACTAAATTAGCAGCAGAAAACGTTGTAACGTTGACTTCCCAATGTAGCAGCTCAAGATATCATGTTTTAGCTATTTCTCATATCAAGATATTAAACGCACCTCAAATAAAGCGCTATCCGGTTATTTTGTATGTCATATTGTGCTGAAGTACTAAAATGGCAACACTATCTTGCAATGAGTTTTGCATGTCCAAAACGAACTCAACGTGGTACAATACGTAGCATCTAATCGTACCTCTTCTGCAAGCGCCCGGATGTGGTATGGCTCAAAACCACAGCATCCACCAATATAACGAATGCCTATGTCGTAAGCTGCGCGTGCGTACTTCTGCATGTCCCATCTCGTCATCACACGACTTTCCATTGCTGCACAGAAATAACAAAAAAAAACCCATTAAATTTCATTAGAGAGTAAAAGTTTCAATGTCGTCCGCAACAAGCCAGGGAGAAAACGACGGGTAAGAATGATTTACATCTCTGAAAGCAAATATTACACAAATTGTCCAAATGGGTAGGATGCATTGAAACCATGTACACTGTGAAAGCAAATGAAAAACTGGTCAAGATCACCGTGACAAGTCATGGTAAATATTGTCAGCGTTCAAACACCTTATTAGAATTTCTTCTTACCGAAAGGATTCTCTGGTAACGAGAGAATTCCTCTTCTGTCAGCATCCGTGGTTTTATAAGCTACAGGCTGGACCATAAGCGGACGAAGCATTCCTGAGGCGTTCAAAGCATCTTTCATCATTTGCACAGTTTGCAAGCAGCTGTCCGGATCAAAAAGACAGTTTACGCCAATAATATCAGCGCCTTAAAGACAAAATTTTAAAGACAAGAATTAAGTTGAGGTAGTTAGGGCATTCAGAGTTGATAAATGACTCTTTAGTTGCTTGCCTAACTGATTGATTGACCGACCGACCGACCGACCGACCGACCGACCGACCAAGAAAGTGACCGGATGAATGACCGGCGACAGAGTGACTGACTTACTGACTGCCACACTTCCTATTATCTGGCCATGACTCTCCCAATGACTGACAAACAGACTACCTAACTGACTGTCTCACTAAATGACTGTCTGACCAACTGACTGCCTGACTGACTGACTGCCTGACTGACTGACTGGCCGACTGTCTAATTGTCTGACTAACTGACTGCGACTGACTGACTGATGAATGGATGGATGATCCATGCATACCAACCTTACCCATTTTAGCAAGCCTGACAGCTGCTTCCCCAGGGTTAACTTTGCCTAGAACGTCCCCCTGGGGGCTAATGGGCATTGTAACGGCGACAGGTTTGCCGGTAGATTTCAAAGTTTCTGTCGCCCATTCAGCTTCATCAATGTTCATCAGATACTGAAAAGTCACAGATGGAAGCTACTAAATAAAGTAATGATCTTAAGTAAATTGATCGGATTCGATTTAAACTTTTGCTGAGGCTTAAGACATATTATTTGTGTCTGTACAGAAGATCTGAATCCGGGTTCCTTGATTCTGCTATGATTCTGGCCTTGTCTCCAAAAAATCAATACATTGGGGGAACCGGTAAAATTTCCTTTCAAAAACTGCAAACTAGTCAATGCATGCGAAGTCTGGCCAAAGTCCCGCGCAAAGTGTTGTAAAGCGCATTGGAGTATATTGATATGGAGAATGAGCTCTATTAATGTATCGTTATCATTATCAAGATTCTCCGAGACATATATCACACTGTGGCATTCCTATTCTATTCCCTCTAAATTCATCTGGTTCTTAGAGCGCGCACCAGCACTCGCAAGGGATGAGCTTCATTTTTTTTCGTTATTGATTTGATACATCTGGATGCACACGTGACCATTGATGGACACCTACCTCACCAATAAGAAAATCTACATCATTCTTGATAAGTACTTCAACTTGTTTTAAGTACTCCTCCTGAACTGCATGCTTACCACGCCCTTCTCGATAGCTCTGGGTGTAAGACACTCCTCCCGCCATCAGGGCGTCACCCTCGTTGGCGACTTCACGCGCGATCCTACACGCAGCTTGGTTGATGTCGTCAGCCTATATCAGAAAACAACAACTCAAATTAATCACTTGTAGGGGTTTTTGATTTCAGTTGCATTTTATAGATTGAAGAAAATACCGTAACATAGCCGAGAGGAATAGACCGCAAAGAACACAGGAAGGGCGAACAGTCTAATCCAAAGTGAGCTTGTAAAGAGTAACGCTGTGAGGCTGAAATTCTAATTTTGCTGGTTTCCTTTCTTCTATTCATCCGTTATTGTCCACTTTGACTAGTGTCAATGAAAATACTTGTTTCCAGGGAATACCTTAATCCTCACTCCGCGGCTGACGATGGATTCTTGTGTTCCATTAAATGTGAACGCTTGCATGACGTCTGCTCCAGCCCTAAGGAATTCTCTGTGAAGTTGTCGCACTAAAACAACATTGCAGCATTAAAAGGATTTTCAGCAATTGCTATCAAATGAATTTTCACAAGCCTCAGGTCTAATCAATGAAAACAAGTATCTAGAATTATCCGAGGTTTTACACTTAGGTAAAAACACTGGAACAACCCTGGTGCCCACGTGATGACATCTCACAACCCAACCCTACCCTACCGTACCCTAACCACTTCCTACTAAAAAATTGGGGAATTGCTTTGGGTTCCTAGCCACGCCCACGAAACTTTAGCAGAACCTTCCCCTTGGTGTGTCGCTATTCAGGAAACAATTTCATTCAAGGGACTTCGATATCGATCTAAACTGAGACTGAGCAATATTCCCTTGTAATTCTTGCACTTGTCCTTTCCGTTCTGAGAATGACCCTCATTGGTAACGATGTTGTCCCCCGAGGGTTACATACGTCTAAGAGCCTCTTTTTACGAAACTATCCCTCGACCACACTCCTCAATCGACATTTACTCACCTGCCTCAGGATGCTCTACTGTACATTCAGGTGTGTATGGACCAGCTGTTACATAGCCTCGCCTTTCAAGAGCATAGAGGAATCCGCCATCACCGATCACGACTTCTCCTGCGTCAAGTCTCTCAAGAATTCCCCTTGGCTGATCAATTCAACAAGTTTCATTAATCAAGTAAATTAACAACGCAAAAAGCACAAAGTTAGAATTCCTTTTTTTTAAAAGGGAGGAAAAAATAAAACAAAGGATATTCTTTATTGCACTAAACGTCCTGGCTTTGCTGCACATGCACTCATGGAAAACCAGTAAAGACTTTTTGGAAGGCAAGCCCTCTAGCATTTGCTTGACGATTACAGCAGAAATATGACAAATATTCCTGTATTTTGTAAATAATTAGCAAATAAACTTATGAAAAAAAAGTGGCTTTTCTGATGTACAAGAAACATGTGAAAATATCTTCCTATCATAGATTTTTAAATATATCGCGAAAGGCTGCGATCAGTTATTTACCTGCTTAGTAGTTCCTGTTCCCACGGCCGCTAGATTTATTACTCATTTTACTTGACGTCAGAAAAAGTTCACTAGACGACCTGTGATCCCACAGGGCCGGTAATAAATCTTGATAATCCTTTTATCTCTGGCTTTTGACATTTGAATAGGAACTGAGGGGTAGTTCGTATTAAATTTATGCAAAATAAAAAGAAACTTATTTCTTTCACGCACACAGGCTTTGCAACTAGTCATGCAAATTCCGCCAGAGTTATGAAACAAGAGCAGCCCTGAAATTCTCAACGTTCCTGAAGGAAGTATGAGCCGAGTAAAGCAGATTTCCATATTCTAGCTATGTTTCAGACAACTATCACAAATTATAAATAACTTCTTCAGCTAGCTTACTGCGAGCCTTCTAGCGGACAAATGCCCAGCAGACATAAATATCCTTCCCTCAGGTCAAGTTACCGCAGCCATCAGGGTTGAGAAAGTGTTTGTCGTTTAAAATCATCAAGATATTTTTTAGTCTTAGCTTTAAAATTTCCAACACAAGCCTAATACCACTTTCTTCTTCAGATGCTTAACTAGAACACCAGACGGTTGCACAATCTCTACGGTGTAACCGTGCTCATTTTAGGGTTTTCACGACAGTAAGGGGATGGACCCTCGGTGTTTTGAACATGTATTCTTTGTCAAAAGCATCGTTTGGAAACAGAAAATAAACATTTAACGAGCATAAGTTGAGACATGTTGCGTATTTAACCTCTTACCTTTTTTGTTGTGGACGCCATTTTAAGATGACTTCGATGCTATTGTTGTCACGCAATGTCACGCTACTGACAAAGTGCAAGGTGTGGACAGTTACGTGACGACAGCAAAATAAATTAATAATATTAATATAGAAGAAAAAGTCAATCGAAAATATATTTGAATATGTAACGCCCCAGTCAAAAGTGTCATGTCATATAATGCGTTGAGTCGCAAAATCCGAAGCGAAATCAACAAAAATATTTTATGAAGTTAACCAGCTGTGAACCCTCACAGAGTTTTGAATAACTCAGTGACTATGGCAGTGATTAAAATCAAATTTTATTTGCCTGTAATAAAAATATTTTTAAAGCATACATCACTTTCAAAAATTTTTGTTCTAGTACTATTGAGCCACATTTGCATTAATTATTATCATTTACATATTTGATCTCTAATTTGTAGTACTCTGAGAGAGTAGTTTCTTCTGTGTATCGTCGAAAAGTTTGACCATGCAATCGTGATCAATTGGCCTAATGAGCAAAATATTGGGGTCATCCTTGCATGATTTATTATCGTTATACATCAAAAACGTTGTACTAGAGATTGGCTGAACACCCAAATCGGCCGCTAGGATTCCAATATATGCATCATCAACTTTAAGCGGTTTCACAACATCAAACATTGGAATTAATTTCAAGACCAGATCCCTTGACAACACGTAGCCGCCTCCAGAAATGTAGTCTTTATAAGTATTCTCAGGATGATCTTCTTCTGAAACACCATAGAAACCATGACGAAGAACAGGGTTTCCATGCATTAAATGTCCAAAATAAAAGTCTGTATTTGCCGTGCCAGTTTGGGTGAGGAATTCGATGAGACCGCGAGTATTGACGAACACGTCATCATCTGTCTTAAGCAAGTATTTAAAGCTACAGTACTTTGCTGCCCATTCAAATCCAGACTCAATCTTAAACACTTTATTTGTAAACGTTTCAGGGTAGTCACCTTGAATTATGTCGCCAAATATCTGCGCTTCGCGCGAGATGCGATACGAAATGTCAACACTGCTAGCTTCGCCGATAAGAAACACCGTCTTCCATTTCCGGTGAAGTGCGTTATCCGTTCCCCAAGTATGTCGAATAACCATTCGATTTTTATGTGCTTCAGGAGAGCTAGAGACGATTATTATGAGGAACAAGTCCTGTAAACACTTTGTTCGTGTTAGAAGACGGGTACGATGTTTACGTACTTCAAGCCAAGAGTCGGAGAATGCATCATCGATTAACTGACTGTCAACAGAGCCCGTTTTGTCTCGATCGCTTCGTCTGCGAAATGAAGTTCCCACCGTTGTGTGCGCAGACCCACGCTTGCCAATTTGACCTTCTTTCTGGAGGTTATACTTCATGGACTCTACATAATTTGTAAGTCCTTGACTTGTGAGCCAAAGTGAAATGCATAACATGGAAAGAGAAACAGTAATACATAGGAATAAACAAGAAGCCGCAGTCACAGTAAATGGACACGTGGAAGACTTCATCGTGTCGATACGTTTTGCTTTGAGTCCACGAAACAAACAGCAATCCTTTCTCCTTTTAAAGTTCCGTAAATGCAACTGAATTTCACCTCCACTTGACGGATGGCTTTTATGACAGCGCTTTGACGATTATACTGTCATTCGCACAACAATTCACTGAGTGAAATATTAACCACCAGCAATGATGAATATTTGTTATTGGGCATTAAACCAGGAGTACGTGACAGATTCACGCAAAACGTAAAATACTGAAAACTCCGAGTTCATCGTAGAAGAGTTCGTAACCTTGGCAGCCTCACTAACACTCTTTTGCTTTCTTTTCCGGCTAATTACATAGAAACATCAGGAATTGTTAATTCAGATTTATCGCATTGTATAATGCTCGATATTGTTTTGTCTATTGCAGTCTCTTTTGTCATGGAGACTGTTAGTTTGAGTTGACTCAAGAGATTTGTCAACATTGTTGTTTTGCAACTGTATTGCGCCCTTCCCTGCACTCGAAGCACGTTTTTGTACTTTCCCACTCACAAAAATTCATGTCAGGTTTTCAAGAAATTTAATGGATTTATCTCAGTAAATCTACTTCGTTTTTAGATGGACTACTTCGTTTTCTGGGAAATTTTAAAAAGTTTCGAGACGAAAAAGCTCATGAAATGCGAATCCATTTTTATCATGGCTTCTATTTTTAAGCTAGTTCAACAAAGCTGTCCTTTAATTTCAGACGGAAAATGTCCGAAATCAGGCAAAACAAACGACAGCGTCTGAAATAGGAGGACAGTGTGTCAATGAAGCGATGACGTCAGAAATGGGACAGAAGAATCCGAAAAGGAACGATGGCATCCGAAATTGGAGAGAAGCTTCGAAATGTCTCATGAAAGCGTCTGAGTTCGAACAATAGTTTCCGAAAAGAAGCGAAATAGGGCGAAAGCATCCGAAATCGGACTGAAGCATTCGAAATCACAAGGAACTTTCCGAAATCTGGTTTCGAAATTAGACGGAGATATCTAGCTTACCGTTCCAACAGACGATCTTTCGATGGCGACACGATTTTGTCTTTCTTTCTGGAAATCAGTTCATAGCTGATTTTTCCACATCGTGTTTTCACTGGTTTTCGAGAAGACTGCGGCTTTATCTTTCAACGTAAAGCTCGTATTTTCGGCATTTCGTGTGTGTTCTTCTAAGAATGGAAAGTTTTTTCTTTCCCAGCGGATTACTTGTTTGCTTTTGTTTAACCAAATACGCTCAGAAAATGGATGTTGGAACCTCTATGAAATCATCAATGCGGTAGAAGTTAGATTCTTTCTTTATTAAGTGCCAGTAGTTTTTATTTCGACAAAAAACAACAGACAGGTTATTCAATAACTACAAGTGCCACACTGAAAATAATTTCAGGAAAACAAACTAAACAACTTCTGTGTCACTGAAGTTTTCGATGATCACTACCACGTGTTTGTTTTTTCGACGCCACATAGCCCAATAATTAGAAGTATAGATATTCACCATCGATCCTATCCAAAAAGACAAGAAAAATGGAAGTCCAGATGCGATTCCTGCAATTCCTAAACTCAGTGCGGCGTTGCATTCTGATTGTTTGCTGTAACGATTGAGAAGGAAGCCAATACCGGAAACTTGAACACACACCATCCCAAGAAACAAAACATTGAATATCAGCATGGCAATGTCGTTTGCTTGCATTGGAAGGCATCGCCACTGCAAACACAGAGAGCATGAGATGAAATGATATTTTACAAAGCAGCGAATGTAGTTTCTCTAATAATTCAAGGACAAGGGAAGGTAAAGTATGCACAATTTTGTGATATCTTGCAATCTCGACTCATATCTAACATCAACCGAAATGAAACAATCAGCAAAGACCAGTAAATGTCATTGTTATCATTAAGGCAATTCTGCACTACCCCAAGTAACCCAAATTAGTATATTTATATACTAAAATAGAGGATAGCGTCGATAGCGTGCTCTGATTGGCTACTTAAATTTCGGGTACCATTGCTATTCACCTCCGAGCATTTGCGCGCGGGACTTGCACCCGGAAATATTACAAGTGTAAATCACCTTTTTGTGCTATATTATCTCACTGCTTTGGTATACACTAAAAATACTGTTCACCTGTGTCGGTGGCTAGCGATGGATACTTACATCGCTGCTTCGCCGCCTCCACTTCGGTGAATAGTTGTTAACTAGTCAAAATGGGATTTCTAATACGAATCGAAAGTAAAGGTCATAGTGTAACCAACAAAGAACTTAATGAAACGCAACTCTAATTTCATTTTGCCTCGCATGCTGAGATGAATTCATTACGGGTCATTAATTTTGGTATTCAGTCTGGGAAATGTTTCGAGATTTGGTCACAAGAACGCTAAAAAATGGAATACTATTTTTTATAAAATACCTTTCTGATAGGCTTATAAACTCTTCTTGTGCGAAAACGGTAGCGACAAATTGGACACGTTCTGTTGTGGGCTGAATTTAACCACAACTCCAAGCAGGATTTATGCACCTTTCCCATGGTTCCTTTACACCAACAAACTTTTTGTAAAAGTTCTCGACCTTGGTCCTTTCCGCTAGTATTGTGGCAAATTCTACAAATCGGTTTACCTTCTCCCAACGAAATGGAGCTTAATGAGCATGATACTGGGAGTATCGCTGGACTCTGATTACCAGACGACATTGTGGCTGCTTCGCGGTGTTATGTGAAGCGCACAAATCGTGCACTTGATGCAGCCAAGAACGTTACGTAACAATAGTTTAGTAACCATGACAGCCATAGACGAGCGCGCGCGCTTTGGAGGACGTACACGTTTGCAAAGATGACTGGATTATAATTTGCGAAACAGAAGGGACCGACCATAACATAAAAAAGTAATGGAGGAGAATTATGATTAAGTACGCAAAGGTGATTGTCAAAAGAAAACTTTCTACAAAGTCCAAAGAAGCCGAAACAAAAACAAAAACAAAAAAAACACGAACAGCAACAAAAATGAGAATAATCAATTAACACGAGGATAAAATATTCACTTGTCGATTTATTCCTCTACTCTGTAGTAAGTAACGAAGTAATTCATATAATATTTGAAATATTATTTCAAAGCGAAGGTCGAATTTCCATCCCCAGCTGACTCGTGGAGGACATTTATTTTGACACTTTAAGGCGCTTAGCGCCAACATCTGAAAAGAAAAAGAAAGTTGAGTATTTCAACATGTTTGGTGAACTGTACGAGTATCACTATCAATATGGAATGGAGACCCATATCCATGGAATGAAGATGGATGCCCACAACCGAGTCTTGGAGCGAGAAAAGTGATGGAGCTCTAAAAAAATTTACAACCAGCACATTCCTGACTCAACAAGACAGCAGCGTCATTTGTAATTATTGAAACAGGGACCGTTCTCAGTCGGAGCTCTAAACTCCCACTCTGAACATAGTTAATGGAGGGAGTCCCCTCTACTAACTATGCTCTGAACAAGTTACCCTGCCTGCAGTGCTATGATTTCTCGAGACTGTTGTATACTGATTAATTATTTTCTAGCTTATCTGTGAGCCACGATAAACGAGTTTGCATGAAATTGTGTGATTTCGTAATATCAAACAATTCTTTTGCTCGAAAGTTACTCATGGGATGGTGATCCTCTGGCTTGACAGTCATTTGTCATATAACTTGACTTCATGTAAATCGTTTTGGAAGCACAGACATACCAGTCACATAGCAGACTTCGACATTAGCTCCAAGGGACTGTAAAACATCTAGCCAGATTAATTGCTTGGTAGAAAGCTTGTCCCCTGGACCCTTAACTTCAGAAATCTGACGTTAAGACAAAGGAAAAAAATAATCTCCGCTCACTTAGGGTAAGTTGGAGACAAGATGAACTTTACAGAATTTACAAAAATCACCACCATAGCTGTTATTCTGTAAGAAAGCGATTCGTCATTGTTTTGGTTTTGCTTTACTACGCTCTGTGATTGGTATAGAGATATAGCACCACCTTCTAAACAAATCAAATTCATGAGCTACAAACAAACATAACTAAGTGATTAAAGAGGGTAAGTTTCTAAAGAAACTGTGGAGCTGCATCGGTAGGAGAGTATAACAGGGTAATTTAGTGTTATCAACTGAGTTGATAACGTAAATCAGCCATCGTCTTGTTACGAGCGTGGGACAAAGAAAAAATTCTGAGTCCTCATAAGGAATCGAACCTCAAACCTTCGGATTCCGCGCTACGATGCGTCATGACGCTATCGACATTGCTGATCCTATCAGTATGCAGGACGTGTGTCATATGAACTTCGTAATAGACCTAGCTCACCGTGGAGTCTCTGTAGCTCAGTGGTAGAGATGAATCTGAAGGTCTGAGGTTCGATTCCTCATTCATGGGGACTCAGAATTTTTTTTTATTGTTCCACGCTCGTGACAAGACGAAAGACGTCTTTCTCTGTTATTGTCGCTGTTATTCGCAACATTCGTCACGCTTGAAATCTTTTCGTGTCCTTATTGGGTATCCTGTGACGTTCTCCTTCGTTCACCCGAGCCGGTGTAATCAGGTTTTGTTTCTGGTCTTCCAATACTCAAACAAAAGCAGTTTATTTGAAAGACGAACTAAGTTACCATGTAATCAAGAGTGGATGAATTCCATACGACCAGATCAGGCATACCAGCGCGACAATAGCGGTATCCTTGAGCAAACCGAGTGAAGATCCCAGACATTATCTGACCACCCAGGCAGGCTACGAGTTGCTACAGAAAGAAAAACCACAAGTTATTGTGTATTTTTACAATGTTTATCGTCAAACATTTATGCCCTGGACCTGACGTAACGTTAGTTCAACTTGAAGGTATTCCCATTCACATATGTGACCAACCAACACCCAACAACAAATTAAACAACTAAAAAATTCTTAAAAAGGAATACACAAGTAATTTCACATGCGAAACTTCTCAAAACCACCCACTTACTTTTGCTTGCTCCACACTTGTGAATCGATCCCAGCTTATTCCTGCACAAACCTGCCCTTCGTAATCATTCCAAGCTTTGGACAGAATGTCCTGAAGTTTCTGTCACAAAATATACATATATCGAAAAACTTGGTGTAAATAAATCTTTTGCCTTAAACTGACCATATTTGATTGACCACTTAACATAATAATCATTACGTTTTGTGTACATGTAGACAACACAAAGAAAGATTTCATGCATTATCAATCACATTTACCTCAACTGACGTTATTGAGATTTCCTCCAGCCTCTTGTCAATAATTTCTTTGCGACTTTCGTAAAATGCATCATAGCAGAAGTCAAGGGGAGCAGCCTCAAAAAAAAACCAAACAGATACTAATTAATCACTAATCAGAGCAAATAAAAACCTCGCAAATAATAATGTTAAAGGAATTGTTCCAGACTTTTCTTCCTGGTAAAAATATGGTGGTGAATATTACTAAAAGTGCTTTACACTGTACACAAAAAATGTCAGAAAATGACCACAGGACATTTTAAAGTCAGCAAGTTTCATACTTGGAATGGACTTCGAAAAACATCTGGAATTCCACTTGCAAATATGATGTCCCACATGTATAAGATGTAAAGTGATGAGAAAGTGGATCCTTCTCCATGGATTCCTTGGTCAAATCCCTTCTGGCGATAATATGACAAGGCATATTCCTCCACTGCACAGAAGGTTGTTGTACCATCAATTACTTGGCCATCTTGATCAATCTCAGGAGCAATGAAGACTCCAAGTTCTGCACATCTTGTCCCAGATATAGTGATCTGCAGGGATGAGTAAAAAGAAATACAGATAAACTATTCTACTGTTGAACAAGCCACCTCAAACTCAAGTCCATTTTATTTTTAAATATCAAAACCAACGACAAAATTAAAGTAACAACTAAGACTTACACTCTTAGATGAGTCTGGTTCTATTAACTCCAGGTCTCCATAATCTTCACATTTTTTCTTCTTCCCTTTAGTAAATGCTGGGGAAGAGAGGATGCGCTTGGCTCTCTGTATCAGGGCAAGACGACGCCCAAACCGAACATGTGGGTCTAGAAGGGCTTCCCGGATGACCTGCATAGCCTTTGAGTAAAACAGCAAAACTCTGATATTAGCCTTTGACCCCATCGAGTGACTAGCATCTACATGTATTTCTTCTCACAGTAAAACTGCTGAATCAAACATTATGAAAGGATTGTCAGGTCAGGGAGCTCTTGATTATTAAGCACATTCTCTTCATTAGTACTGTAAGAAATGTATAGAGAACAGTGTGGAGAATATAGGTACTGATATCAAAGTGTAAAGGGTCTCAAGGTAAGTCACAGATCAGCCTGGATAAATGAACAGGTGGCACATCCATGGATATGCAACCCTTAAATTTATATCATATATTAAAAACATTGTCTTTGGCCATAGTTCACTTTTCTTTCTTTAATCTTTCAAAACTTAAGAAAAAAATTAACGAGGACTCACCTTTTCAGGTTGTTTTAAGTGCTGATGCAAATTCAGTGCCAGTCTATCATACCACCGTCCACGCGAATCAAAGCAAAATATGTCTTGTTGAAGCAGACTTTCAAGTTGATTGACAGCCTCATCATACTTTCGCCATTTCTGTAACAGTTCCACTCCATAATAACACATCTTAGTGATGGCCCACTCAGCAGTGAAGCATCGCAAGTGGCCTGGGAGTAGTGCAGCAGAGATTTCTGAACAATTTTTCAGCTTGGCCAGAATATCATCAAATTTCTTTGAAGCTTCTGGATAGTAAATATAGGCTTGTTCAAAGTTCTTATTTTCAAGCGCTACAAGCATCTCATACTTATGCTGATACGCTTCAGAGAATTGGATGAGGCTATCTCGAGAGTGGAAAACTGGTGTTGGTCTGTCAATCACATATGCTGGGTAGACAACTTTACCAATATTAGCAAGGTAGAGTGTTGACCTGAAAATCAGATGTATATGTACATTGTAGAGCATTGGAAAACAGCAAGTAATCAAAATGAGCCACAACTGATAAATACTGGTGACATTCATGTATATTCAGGTTTGTGTGGCATTAAGATTTGTTATAGATCAGTTAGACCAGTTACAGTGAGTAAAAACTGTGAAATTTTTGTGTAATAAAATTGCAAAGCTTTTTCAAGCCCTCACCATTTTCTTCATGAATCTCAAAAACTGGTATCAGATAGTGAAAGATTCTTACAATTGCTGCGCCTGTCCATTGTTTGAGGAGTCTTCATCATCTGGGATAACATTCATACTAAACAACAAAAGAAGTCTGCTGAACACATCTTTGGGATAAGCTGCCAGTCTCACACAACAACCAAGGGCTTGCTTAACCCTACAGAAAATAAATGAATGACAAAACAAAACTTCAAAAAAAGACTACATATAGAGTTAACATACTTTGGCTTTTATTGCTGCACACTAGTACATGTAATTTATCATGAGTGATTACCAATCATATCACTGGACAGTCAAATAAAACGATGGACAGAAACACACCGCTTGCTGCTAAAAATTTATCTCTTAGCCATCTCTACACCTCCTGAGTAAACTACACAAACATGTAAATGTTCAAACTACTATTGAATGAATTCTCATTTGACAGTCAAATTCTTACCTCTTTAAAACAACAGCTTTAGAACTTCCAAAGAGTGTCTTTTGGTTCTCGGCATGGTTAACAATCATTTCTATTGTGTCTTCCTTGGTTCCCCCCTTCTGGCCAACAGATTTTGATGAAATATGAAGAGTTTTGACCAAAAGTTTTAAGTCTGGAGCTGCTGAAAGATTTAATGCCTCCCGGAGATCTCTGAGATGACTTTCGTCTTCTAAAAAACCTATAAGGAAAAAGGGGGATGGTAATTCTCTACATGTTTCTTTTGAACTCATTATTTTATTTCAATTCATGGGACTGAAAAGAGCTTATTGGAATCTGTACTCAGTAATGTTACAGAGTGGGTAACAATAGTGGATAACAGGACAAAGGGATCATACTCGTTCCCATGAATGAAAGTATCTATAAGTTACATGTAGGTGCCTGATTTGGACAGAGGTTTTCCTGATGCATACCACAATTTTGTGAGCTTGTGGTTAACATTTTGCTGGAAAGGGTATTGAGTAAGTCAATGGACCCTACAGCATAACTGAGAGGTACTGTAGAAGGGAGCTAATTCAAATTGAAGCCAATGTCAACACTTTGAAGCCCCTTGGGGACAACTTTTACCATAAAAGCATACATGTACCCTGAGGTCCTGTGTTTGTTTGTCAGCCTCTCTTCCCACTCTTATTCCAATTGACACTTTTCTGCAACCCAGCCCCCCCCCCCCATTCCACCCAGGCCTCATACTCCTGCCATTCACCATGTTATTCTGACTTCACAAAAACATTTAAAATAAGAGATTTAACCTTTCTCTGCAAGAGACTTTAATATTGGTGTCAGATTGTTACTGATCCTCAGATATTCCAGTTTGCTGCACCTAAACCATCCATGTTTACGCTGGAAAAGACGGATATACAGCTTCTGCTCCTCTGAAGACATGACATTGAAAGCATCAATTATACCATTATCTTCTTCATTGAACAACTGCCTGTCATCCTTGTTTGACAAGACATTGTTCACTACAAGCTTAAAATTAGCTAAATAGTATGGTTCATGGTCTTTGTCTTCTTTCTCCTTGGAATTTTCAGAAACATCTTCTGTTAAGTTTATGTTAGATGCTTGAACTTCATTTGGATCATTGCCATCATTGTGAATTGATTTTCCTTCCCTAGAAAGAGTTGCAAATGTATCACATGGTTCCTGACATGCAGTACCTTGATCACAATCACTACTGGATTCAATGTAGCTTTCTTCATCCATGGCAAAAGGACTTTGTTTCTTACTATCCATCTTCCGTGACATTTTCTTCAAGGGGATAAAATCATTTCTTTCATTTGCAGGTTTTAAGATAGAAGAAACACCCTCAAGGGCTAAATTTTCATCCCTTGATTCTGGACTTTTCACACAGGGTTTGTAACATTCTGACCTATTTTCTTTCCTGTCTGCATTCTGGTAACTTGGCTTTAGTACCTCTTTTGCTGAGTAGTCTGAACTGCATGGAGAACAACTGTGTGCTCCAGCAAGTTCATTAGCTGTACAATCTTCAGCTATAAGTAGAGCTAAGTGTAGTTTACAGTTGCTGTCTAAATGTTGGTTTATCTTGGAAAGAATTGCAAGTTTTCCACACAATGGACAAGAAACTGATTTTGGACTGCATGGTTTCAGAAACCACGTCGCTATTCTCTTATTTGCTGGGTTCCCATTATTGTTATCCATGCAATTAACTCCTGTTGTTTCTTTTGTTTTGCCTGATGACTTGATTTTTTTGTTGCTTTGAGAATCTTTTGCCTCAGCGTGGTTCTGCTTTGATTCAATAACTGGATTTTCATCTGGAGGAAAAACTACAATTTCAGAGTTTCCATCTCGGCCGCACAACTCACTCTTCATGTCTTCCACTTCACTGATTTTTGTCTTCTTTCTCCGGGAGAGAGACAGCCTCGTCCTTTTTCGATTCATGACAAATATATGGCTCAAATATCGTGACCACGTACACTACTTTACACAGTTGTATCAGTTGGAATAAGTAGACGTGTCTAAGACAAGACTCGTGAGGCAACGAAGTGTAAAAGGTCATTGAAAGACTACACTTTTATAGGAAAGTATGTCAGCTAAAAAGCTTTATAGCTGATGAAGAAGATGCCGAAAACTGCAGTAGAAATAAATAGAACAAAATTCCCGCCTTCCCACTGCCTTCTGCCATTTTGAAATTTATGATAATAGGGCAGCGGTCGACACAATGAAGCAGAAACGAGGCCTGCTTGTAACCAGTCCCAAAAGACCTCTTCAGGTAAAAACATGGCGGATAACTTGTTTGAGCGAGTTCGTTCAAGGTTTTAGGGGTTTATCTTTCACTGCGATGGCGTACAGCTCTACTTCAAGAATTGGCGATACTTTCAGACACTCAGAAAAAAGGGGAGGTGGTAACGATGGGAAAGTATCGCCATCCACGGCATCACATGCGGAACGCGAATCAGAGAGAAGAACTGATCAGTTCATGGCATCTGACAGCTTCTACCACAGAATGGAAGGGATGATAAAGAAGGGGGACGTCGAAGCAATTCTTAAGCAACAGAGAAAAACGTTAGTATTTTGGGTAAAATTTCCGCACAGCCCCATACTATTGTAAAACAAATCTGTTTTCCCAATGGCAATGTACTGTTTTTGTCATTGTTTTCTCTATCCAAGAACTGAATGCATAATGTAGGATGAGGCTGTGCGGAAATTTTACCGTATTTTGTATTATTGTTTTGAAAATTCCACGATCCTTCAAATTTTATAAAATTCTGGCCGATGTTGTTGCTATTATTGTTTAAGTAAACGTGTGCGATTTCTTTACAGCTGTTAGACAGCTATTGTCAGTTGGGTGTTCGTTGTACATTAACACAGAAAATATTTGGTGTACAAAATTCTGCCGTATTTTGGCCTGCAATTTGATATTTTCTATACAGTGACATAAACATGTAGAAATGGAAAAATAAGAGCCTGGCTTTTTCTTCCTTGTGTGCGTGGTCTTTCACTTGTTGAAAATTAACACCATAGTTGTAATCTTAGATATTCCTATCACTGTTTGATAGGTTCTCAGACTTTGCGAAGATGAATGCCAAATTTAAACACTATTGCTGTAATCTCTGATATTCCTTTTACTGTTTGACAGGCTAGCAAACTTTGAGAAGACGAATGCCAAATTTGGAAAATTCAATGATTTGTCTGCAGCCAGATTCCTGAACTTAAACAATCAACTGAAGGGTCATACCAAGATGTTATTAGACATGAAAAAAGATTTGGATTCAATCTTTAGAAGAATAAGGTGAAAAATGTAGAGCCTTTGATTTGAACAAATTGATTTCATGTTATTAATGTCATGTTTAACTTTACAAAATTCCTTTTCATTGTCCTTTATGTAACAGTTTGGTATTTTTATGTTGTTCTTACACTGCACTTGATGTAATTTTGTGCTCTTGAGAAATGAGTCATATCCTGAAATGAGTTTCTGATAACACAGTCAAAGATAAATTATTGATTGCTTATGTGATTGTTTTTTTTTTCTATTAGAACATTAAAGACTAAACTGACAAAGCAGTATGGATCTGCTTTTGAAGGTAAGTACTGAAGCTTCTCCCAGCTCATTACCCAAAGTCTATGCTTATAACATATGATGACATGAATATTTGCCTTCAATCTTTGCATCCTTATATCAGAAACATATTCTCTTATCACATGGTATTAACAAAGAGAATTTGTCAAACAATCAAGAACCTCTTAAGTTAGTGTTCATTTCCTTATTCAAAGCACTTTATATTTGATTCAGAGGTGAAACTATAAAAGCTAAGTTTTTTTGTTTGTCTCACTATGTAGTCACGTGTGATGTAGATTGTGACATTTCAACTGCACACTGCTAGTCTTAAGGCGATGAGGTTGACTGGTCATGTGTAATCTTATAAAGCATGAAGCTCTGCTGTGATTAGTTGTTTTTAACTGAACAGCTCTGATTGTTGAAAAAAACCAACTAATCACAGCAGAGCATCATGCTTTATAAGATCACACATGACCAGTCGACCTCATCACCTTAAGAAGACTAGCAGTATGCAGTCGAAATGTCGCAATCTACATCGCACGTGAATACATCATGAGACAAACAAAAAAACTTAGCTTTTATTGTTATTCGCCACGATGAATAACCACAACCTTTTTTTATGAAATTAGAGGTGAAACTGTTAGGAGAAATTTAGTGACAATCACTCTTTGGGTTAAAGGGTCAAGATACAAATCATTACAACATTCTCCAAAGTGTTTAACTGCTCAACTGGAAGACCAGAATACTGTTGTGGTTTTAAAGGAAAACACCAGGGTTTTATCATTTGGAAATTGGAGTCTCTGTATGCTATGACTGCCATGCTTCATAATTTCTCATTACCATTAATCAAGGGTTGTGTTATTTCCTCCATTTGTCAGCTGTCTCAGCTGGTATACAAAAACTGGAGGAAGAACTTGGTGCTAGTATTGAGAATGAAGATGCTTCTTCAGTTCACACATTGACAGAAAGCCAGGAGTTTAAATCAGACAATCAGCCTTCAAACCAAGAACAGGCAACTGGAGAAAAAAATATTCACCAAAGTGCTGAAGAAGGCACATGTCAAGGTGGCATAAGTCAATCAACGTCCTATAAACTTCTGGGAGAGGAAAGCATTAAAGACCAATGTACTGATGATAAATCAGTTAGAAACTCAATTCTGCCTGTGGCATCTATAAATGCAGAGGCAAAGAGTAGTCAGGAAAATTGTCCTGGATTAAAAGATAAGACAGTTGATACAGAGAGGACAGTCACTGAAACACCTTATAGTCAGAGTGGGTTGTTTGGAAGAGGTGCTCAAGAATTCAAAGAAAGTAATGCAGGAGGCACAGTGGACTTGCCTGATTTGACGGGGGCAAAAGACACCATTGACTTTGAAGTTAAAGGGAACAAGGATACAGGCGCAATAAGTAAGAGTCTGAATTTAAGCAGTAGAACAGAGACACCAGACATAGGTGACACTGATAAGACACTAGACACAAGTAGGGTAACCAAGAAAGGAGATACATGAGAGTTAACAAGGAATATAGACCCTGGTGAAGACTTTATTTGACATTGTACAAAGTGCAGACGACAATATGGCTTGCTACAATGGTGGATACATTCATTATTGGTGCTGCACACTGAATCATGCTGTAGTTCTGTAGAATTTGACGGTAGTAGCCCCAAATAATCTTCCTATAGGGAAATCCAACATCCCTTTTTTTTATTCATCCAGAAAGGGATATAAAGAAGAATATTGCATTTGGATACTTGATTGCCTCTAAAAAACAAAAAAATTAAGTCTTGATTCATTAAATGTAACAATTTATGTTCCTCAACGTGATGCAACTGCATTAAAGAAAATACCACGGTCTCTTTTCGTAATAAATATGATGAACTGAAGCCTTGTGAGACGTTTTTTTCTGGGGGGCGTTTAGTTAAAGTAAAAATGACATCGGTCTTGAAGGCTTGAGCGTAGGGCAGGCTGAGTTTCTTAGTAAAATGATTTCCCTTTTCGAGCAGTAAAACTTCCACTAAAATACTCATAAACAATAAGAGGAAAGAAATATACCACGGGAAACCAATCATTGAGAATTGAAATTCGTAATAAAGTGCACGAGCGCGGGAAAACACGAGTGAACGAGTTGTAGTTGGTTTTGGCCAACATGTAATTGTTTGAGAAGGTTTTCTAATCCTGTTATAGGGGCGCTGTTGAGAAAAAGCCTTGCGGTTGGTGCGGATTTTGACACTCGACTTTAGATTTCAGGGCTTGCTTATCCCGGTTTCAGTGGCAAGAAACAGCTGGTGGCCTAAAGCTTGTTGTACGCACTCTATCGAATTATTATAACTTCCAACCAATCCGAATTCATTTGGATTTAAACAAGTTGACGTTTTCGCCTTGGGGAAATTTGAAGCATGTGTCCATTTGATAGCAATTTTACCTACGTACGGCTTTTCATCTTAGGCCTTCGCGGTCAATCCATCTCGGGCGGGACGTAACCGCGGGCTAAACAACACGAAAGACCACGCTAAATGTAAAGGCCTGGGAACCAGACAAGCAGGAAGCTAATGAAGTATCGAATAAATGCGATCCAGGAATTTTATCACTGTCGAGCACATGAAAGTCGAAATGGGTTTTCAGTTTTGGATCTCATTTGCATAAATATCTCCAATGATTGCATGGACGTCGAAGCCTCAGGCTATATTTATTCATAGCCGACATAAATTCTATAGTTTGCAAATTAAACCGCCGACACATTGGGCTATCGGCACTTTTAGCAGTCATTAAAATCTGTTTTTTTTCATCTTTATTCATGATTACCTCATCAATATTTTAGTAAAATAAGTTAAAGTCTCTTTCTCCCTTGAATAAACACTTCAATTTAAAATTCGAAAAAATTATTTACGATGCCTATTAGGACAGTTTTTTAAATGCTATCAGCATCCTGAAATTCGTAGCCAGAAACGATTTGTCGCAACAGATCGGCTGGTAAATTTGTGGTAAAACAATTTTAATATCTTAAACGAACGGCGAATATTGCACAATTTATCAATCTTTGTCGGTTCCTCAGTTCCCCTCAAGAAGCAATATACTCATTGAAATCCCGTCCTATAGGGAACGTGAAGCTAATTTTACTTATTACTCGAGGTGATATCTGAAACTAAAAGTGGAACCTGACCATTATCAGATTGAAGATTTTCTGAAAGAAAGTAAAAGCTTTCGCCAGCCATAGTTTTTAAGATTGTTTTTGTTTTGCAAACATCCGTTGTACATATATTTTTCCATCCAGATCATCGAAATCCGTCATAACGCTGCAGGCAATAGCGATTAAAGATTGCAGCATATTGTTCGTCAGCAGTTTGGGCGTCTTTAAGGCTAAAATCAAGTGACCAAAGTTTTTGTTTATGACATTTGAAAAAGGAAGAACAATTAGCAACTTCGAGTTTTCAAGCCACGATCACAGCTCGGTATCCAAAACGTCCTCTGCAATGTCTTCCCTTGTAGTGAATTGCACGCCCTGTTGGTTCCTTGAATCTTTTCTAAACGTTTTCAGTTCCGACGATGGCGTCAAAACTCCTGTCATGTTATTTCCTCTGTCTTTACGTTCCATCTTAGCTCTTCCCCTCCTTAAAGAGCACATACCTAGCGCTTGTCTGAACTCAGGAATCCTCAATACATATACAACTGGATTGATAAATGCGTTGGAATAATTGATAACATTTACCATGAAATATATTTCTAATGATATCGAAGTGATGCTAGTTAACATCAACCAAATGTTCGTAAAAACTAAAGGTAGCCACGAAAATAAAGAAATAATTGATACAAAAAGTAAAGTCTTTGTCAAGCGTTTGTTGGGCGCTGATTTGTTCCGCTGCGAAGCGAGAATTCCCCGTCGAAGTTTCCTCCAGATGCATAGGTTACCGGAGCAGATGACAAAAGTTAAAATCAAGATATACGGCGCCCAAAGAAATATTGAATATTTGGGAGTTGAAACTGAGAGCCAAAGTCCACTCAAGAGCCCAGAAATAACAAAAGCTAAGATCCAAGCAAGGATTACAGCAATACGGTGTGCCCGCATTAATGTTCGGTGCTTAAGAGGCCAGTACACTGCGTAAAATCTTTCACAGGATATGAAAGCTGCAGAAATTATGGAAGCCTGGGTAAACGTGTTGTCAATAAACGTGTAGTACCCAGATGAATGGATTTCCTCCCATTGATTCGTCCAAAGCTGGAAATAATCCCCAACAAAATAAATGTAAATGGGTAAACACAATATTCCTACCATAAAGTCAGCAAACGCCATGTTCATGACTAGGAATAAACTCTTTTTACGAAGTTTCTTGTTGACTGCAAAGAGAAAAAGGGTGAGAGAGTTTCCTGCAACACTGAAAACGGATGTCAGAATGAAAGCACTGCACAGTGCAATGCCCTCTGCCTTGGAAGGAGATATCTCTGAACTAGTGTTGAGTGCTGAGCACGATGTATTGTTCACCATTTTATGCAGGTTTCTACTAAACGAAATGCTGCAAAACTATTTCTGGATATACCGCTGGTCTACGGGCTGATGGCAAATCTAGAGCAACATGGCCGTATTTGGGCGTTTTTAGCAGGTTTTTCAGTTTGAATTGCTCGAATGTTTTCAGCTGGCTTTTTTCCTATGGCTGCTCAGAGTGCGGTTGGCTTAATTACGATGTTTCCGGCGAAATTATTAAGTAAAATGCGATTAGCAAACGCAGAAGTCATATCAAGGATTGGTTTGACACAATTGCAATTTAAGAAGGGAACTCTCTTATCTGCAACCAAAAATGTCCGACAGCAAAAACCACAATGAGGTTTTTTTTTGGATAAAGGCATTAAAAAATACAATGTCTATTTGATTTTGGCAGAGTACAACAGATCTCTTGAGATTAAACTAATTAAATTTTACGAGGTGTTTTATTGTATTGTTCGCAGTCTGAGCGTAAGACGCTTAAATCCTTCTTTAAATAGAAAAAAAATCATCACATTCTTAAGTTTACGCTGAGTGTGGCGAAATTTTGAAATGTATCTTCCTGTATTTTCTAAAACTCGCGAGAAATTAAGAGACGCTTGGATGGTCTAACGCCTTATGAATAAGTGATGAATTTCGCAAAGAGAATACGATTGTTACGAAACCTCAAATCGACGTACAGCACTGAAACCGGTTGATATCGATATTGTCTGACGTTCAATTTGCAGTTAAATATAGTTTTCAATGTTTATGACTAGACTTCGATGAAAGATTGTGTTTTATGTCAGTACGCAGAGTCATTGACCGAAAAGCACGATCCGATAATATCTTGTTTCTAGAGTCTTCGTTTTCCTTGTCCAGCGGAACGCTTGGCGGAGGGTCTTGTCAAATCCAAAATATTTGTTAATAAAATGACTGGCTGGTGAAAACAAACAGGAAAATCTGAAAAAGCGCTAACATACGTTTTTGTGCTAAGAAGCCTCTTCATTAGGAGTGCTGACCAGAGGCGTCAAACGGGTTTGCGCCCATCGCTTTTTAAATTCACACAAACCCTCCAGTCACGTAAGCTAAAAGTAGCGCAGATCTGTGGAAGATTTAGTTGGGTCAAAGACTAGAAACTGGTTGAGTCAGAATTGTCGCATGCGTAGTAATGTGAAATGAACGAGCATCAGTTTCTGTTAACTACTAATGAGAGTAAAATTCATCGAGAAAGATCTTGTCGCCAAAAAATGTGATTATTTGCAACATGGAAAATTGTTAATTTTAAAAACATAATTACTTTCATCCAATTTGCGACAGTAAACGCCGTGGTAGACTTTAATTGCAAAAAGTTTACTTTTAATGACAGAGATTTTAGTTAAACGAGTCTTATCAAATCCTCGGTTTTCAATTCATCGTTATTCTTTTATATTATTTTTCGTTACATCCAGTTTTATAAAGAATTTCTTACATTTCATGTATGGCTAAAGCTTTTATTCACCTTTTTTCAGAAATAATTTTAAACCCACATCGATTCTACCATTTGTTCTACTAGCGTCGCTTCGAGTGTTAACAAATTTATCTTCAATTTACAAACAGGCGGCTTGAAAAAAATTATAAAAAAGCAGCTGCAAAAATAAAGTTGCTAAAAACTCTTGACATACAAATAAGCTCTTAGCTTTAATTTAAAAGCTATCTCAGTGAGGGGTCATGCTAAATTGATCAACTTGCGGGAAATCAAAAAAACATTCGCTGTAATCAGTAAATTGTGCATCACTGGTCCTCCATGTATCCATCCCGATCCATCCACTACAGCGTTGCTCTCTTTGCTCTCTCAGTATCATACGATTATCTTTACATAAAATTTCAGGATGAACAATATTTCCCTTGGTAATTTTCACATGAAAAATAACCAACCAAATTTATCGATGAATGGTCACTTCAGGGCAGAGGGAATCGCCTGGAGCACTGCCTTTATAGTCACCTTTGTCTTAGTAGTCTCAGGAAACATTCTTACAATTGTTCTCTTTGTTACGAACAAGAAAATTCGCAAGAAAAGTCTTTTTTTGGTCATCAATATGGCATATGCTGATCTGCTTGTAGGAGCCGTGAGTTTGCCTATTTTCATTTACGATGTGGGCATCTATTTCCGGTTGTGGACGGACGGGACTTGGGGACTGTGGAGCAACAGGCCGTTAACTGTTTCCTTCATGATTGTTGATACAGTCTTCTCACAAGCCTCGCTTATTTCCGCAGCCTTCATATCGTGTGAGAGATTTTACGCAATATACTGGCCGTTTAAGTATCGGACATTATCGGCGCGAGTATACCATATTGTTATTTTTACAGCATGGCTGCTCGCTCTCCTTATCTCTGCAGTATGGACAGGATCAAATATTCTATTTTCGTCCAAACACACGATGTTAATTTGGGGGCCATATACACTGATTCTCACGTTAACTACTTGTGGCTGTAACATTTGTATTTGGAAAAAGTTTCAAAGGGGATGTGTCGCCGTTTCACATCGTCAAAACAGAGACTTACAAAACAAGCGCTTAACAAAGACATTGTTATTTGTATCTGGTCTTACTTTGCTGGCTTGGTTGCCTTTAGTTATATTAAACTTCTTGAGGTACGTCTGGTTATTTCCTGTGCAGCAGAAATTCTACCTCGTGGTAAACCTTTTCAACTACTTCAACTCTTTTGTCAATCCAGTGGTCTACGTACTGAGAATTGCAGAGTTTCGACACGCGATGGCTCGCTTTTGTATCTGCAGGGAAAGAAATTACAGGCAGCACGCAAACGATTTAATAAGGAGTGTGGATTTGCACTCGGCAGCTACCTTTATTCACGAATTGGCGTTTGAACAAGAAGTAATCGATACGCAGTTATAACTGATGTCCCGGCATCTTAAGTTGATCAGCGGCATTTTCTTTGGTTTCAATAACACCTGCTTTATAAAGTCGGAAGAGGAGGGCTGAATTGAAAAAAAAAAAAAAAAAAGAAGGTTAACGAAAATACTACCAACCGAAAGATGATTTTCAAGGATTTATTTAAATATCACTGTTGCTTTAGTTGTTGATTTCTTTACTGACAATGATTACAAAAAATTCGCACTGATAAATGAAGCGAGTTCATGTGATTATCTGGCTGCAATGAGGCCTGTAGAGTTACTTAACTTATGCTGTGTTAGATGTAATTATCCAAAATTACACACGAGTACTTAGAATTGTGACTAATTAAGACTTGGTGTCCTTATTTCCCTATCAATAGTCCTTAAGTCACTCGAAGCCGGCATAAACGTTCCGCTTTTGACCGCTTTGTAGGCTTAGTCGGCACTGCGATCTCAGAATTTAACAGGGGTTTAGTATATTAACATTAATTAAAAGTGTTGGATATTGTGCAACGCCTATTGGCTAGTAAAGCTGAGAAATATTAACCCTTTTTTTTACTTAATCCTTGTTATAACCTGTTAAACATTGCTGCGGCGACAGGTGTTGGTTCAATGTATTCATAACGCTCTGTAAGAAGTGAAAACAACAGTTTATTGTCAGGTAAAGAAAAAGGAAAACAAACTTGCAAAAATGAACAACACATTGGCAGCTGACACGGACCTTTTGAGGACTACTTGTGGTTCTTCAGCGATTGATAGCTCTAGGATAGTAGGTATTGCCTTGTGTATTGCCTTGGTATCTGTTTGTATCCTCATCGTGCTTGGAAACTTAATGACTATCGTCCTCTTTGCGTTCAACAAAAGACTGCACAAGAAGACTTTCTTTCTTGTCATCAATATGGCTTTTGCGGACTTGATGTTAGGAGGTGTGACTTTACCTGTATATACTTATTTAGTAGGAGGCAATTTTCATCTTTGGTCGGAACATGCAGGAGAATTGTGGAAAAATGAGTCTTTCTCTAATTTACATATAATCGTGGATACAGTTTTCTCTCAGGCGTCACTTATTTCCGCCGTTATTATATCCTGTGAGAGATTTTACGCCATATATAGACCCTTAAAACATAGAGCCCTTTCGTCCATAGCCTACCGAGTTACCATTTTTATGGTGTGGATCCTCGCTGCTATCATATCTGCGGTACAATGGACTGGATTAAGTAAACTGATCTCGTACAAACACGCGTTTTATATTTGGACGCCATACATATTGATGCTTACCTTAATTGTATGTGGCTGCAATTTCAGCATTTGGCGAAAGTTCCAGCGTGGAGGTGTTGCTTCACGGCAGCAACACAGGCACTCCCTAAACAAAAGATTAACAAAGACATTGTTGTTTGTATCAGCGTTTGCTTTGATGTCGTGGTTGCCTTTAATCATTACCAATTTTTTAATCGTTGTATGTCATGTCCCAGTAACAAGAAAGGCCTATCACGTAGTAAACATTTTGAATTATTCAAATTCTTTTGTCAATCCAGTTGTATATGCATTTCGAATTCCTGAGTTTCGTCTAAGGCTGTTTATGTGCTGTTTCAGAAAACAAGTGACAAGAAATAACAATGAGTCAGTGAAATAACGACAATGCCGCTGTGATGCATATGGCTGACAGAAGTGGTCATGGTCATATGCGTTCACGCAGAACTGATAAAAAGCTGTACCTGGAACATTGCTACCTTAAACTAACGAATTCTTCAAGTTTGGTATTTTCCTTTGAAAGAGTATTTGTAAGGTCTTTTTAGATCACATAGTCCATGCTTTTCCAAAAATAGAGAGGAATCTCATCTGAGTCAGAATGTAAATCTCGGCATGCCAAGGACACACGTGCAATAAACGTATGAAATCTCCCTTGAGAAGGCTTTCTAAGTTCGGAAAGGAGGGAGCGACGGAAAATGGCGATTCTGAACAACGAAGATCCATTCAAGCAACGTATGAGGATTCCTAATTTCCCACCAAACATGCAAAATTTGAACAGTTGGTTACTCAACGACAGAAAAAAAGCTATCCAAATTGAACTGGGAATGACAGATGCGTGAACTGTTCAGACAATAAAGACCGGCTTCCTGTGGGTCGGGAGAGTGGACTGGCCTAAAACTTGGGAGGTCCAAAGGCCTAATCACACGGCTACAGATCCTTAATCAACGTTTCGTTTGCCATCTTCTCCCTTTCGAGAAATACTTTTATAAAAATAATCAAAGATAGCTTGAGTTCAAGAAATAGCTAAATGTGCGCATTCACTTTTTAACCATGAGTGTATGCGATATAGAAGTTAAAACGGGTCCTATTTGAAATAAAGCTTACCTTCGTAACCTGCTATTAAAAAAACTAATTATGAAAATTGTTCAACCGCTATTGCAAAGCTGGTTTGAATGTTGTGTTTTTTTTTTCAGCTTTTAAGGTTAGAATATGTTAAGCGTAAAGATTCAGTGCCGCAAGCTTTCCGCAGGGTCTTCTTTCAGGTCGTTTAATTAACAAATTCGCTTTTGCTGACAATAATGCCTGCTGCGTTAATGAGACCACTCGCCATATTTTTACAATGCTTGTCATAGCTTGTGCTAATGCTTTTCAAAATCTTTCACGATTTCAGATTCTACCGCCTCGATGTTTCAAATTAAGATAAAACTGGTAATTTAGTGTTAACAACTGGGTTGAAAACGTAAATTAGCCACCGTAAAGGGTAAAAAAGCTGACGTTTCGAGAGTTAGCCCTTCGTTAGAAATCGCTCAACGAAGGGCTAACGCTCGAAACGTCAGCTTTTTTACCCTTTACGGTGGCTAATTTACGTTTTCAACCCAGTTGTTAACACTACATTACCTGCTATACTCTCCCACCGACGCAGCACCACAGTTTCTTTAGAAACTTACCCCTTTATTAAGATAAAACTGGCCATGTATACAGAATGGGAGAATCTGACTCTGAACTATTAGTTAAAACACTTGGGAGTTATGTTCTTCCTTTTAGGTTACTCTTATTTTGTTATGCATTTGGAATTATCATTTAATTAATTTTTTTATTTCTATTGTTATTGGTTTTTTTTTTTGGATTACCTCAAAATACCATTATTGCCTTCCCTTGCTTCCATTACACTCTATTCAAATATATTTAATTTTTTTTTTACCTTCGTACACTACTATTTTTTCTAAAATTATTGCTCCGTCGGCGGCATTTAGGGAACGAATCATTTTATGAGGATTCGATTAAACTGTTCGACCACGTCTAAACGAAATATGGTTTGATAAAGAGTAATTTCATTTCTATACCGGTTATGATGAATACTAAGAATTTATTGGCAGCTTCTCAAACGAGAAGGTAATCAGCTGCTCGTAGAATTTGATTTGATTTGAGAATGTCAATAGAGGTAGATCAGTGCTAATATTTGACAGTTCGAGCCAAGGTAAATTCAAGCGGTCTTTGTTATTGATAGGCAGTCACATTGAATCAACACTTGCTGTAAATTTGTTTCTATTCATTTAATACTGGTGTACTCTCCTTGCTATTTCAATATCATCGAGCTTTAACATAAAGTCTTAAAATGAACAACACATCTGCTGCTAATGTCAGCCGAACAAACGACCATAGATTATCCGAAAATGCTCCCTCCAAGGCAGAAGGCATTGCATGGTGTACTGCATTTATATTGACATTTGTTTTAACTGTCGCGGGAAACTTACTCACGATTATTATTTTTACGAAGAGCAAAAGTAATCGTAAGAAACATGTGTTTCTACCTGTCAACATGGCATTTGCTGACCTGATGTTAGGAGCTGTAGTTTTACCTCTATATATTTACCATGTCGGCTTTACTTTCCACCTGTGGACCATAACGGAAAGTTTTACGAGCAAGAAGCCTCTCGACATTTTCTTCATGATAGTTGATACAGCCTTCGCGCAAGCGTCACTTATCTCTGCCGCCTTCATATCCTGCGAGAGATTTTACGCCGTATATTGGCCGTTTAAGCACCGAACTTTATCAAAGCGAGCGTACGGCATTATCATTTTTGTTGTGTGGATACTCGCTCTCCTTGCTTCTGCGATCTGGACAGTCTTAACCTTCGTATTTACTTTCTCGCCGGCTACGACTTTTTTGGCGCCATGTGTTTTCATTCTCATTTTAATCATGTGTGGATGTAACCTTGCTATTTGGAGAAAGTTTCAAAATGGAAGTGTCTCCGCTTCACATCAGCAAAACAGAGACTTGCAAAACAAGCGCTTAACAAAGACGTTGCTATTTGTATCTGGCCTTACTTTGCTGGCTTGGCTGCCTGTAATGATATTGAACTTTCTGATCTTTGTTTGGTCGGTACCTGTTCATTGGAAACTTTATCACATGGTAAACCTTTTCAACTACTTCAACTCTTTGATCAATCCAGTTGTTTATGCATTAAGAATTCCCGAGTTTCGACAAGCTCTTCATTCATGTTGTTTTGGTAAACAGCCAGCTCTAAACACGACGCTTGACAAAATTACGAATGAGAGGACAGGAACAACTGATATCAGCCATGAACTGGCGCTTAAACATCAAAATGAGATGGATACCGCATTGTAAATCACGTCAGTTATGTTTAGCGCTGATGTTTTTTTTTTATCTTTGTAATTTTTCTCTTTTTTTTTTTTTTTAATACAGTTGAAAATACATTGAAGTCTTACGCGAAACACAAGTAAATTTATCTTATCGGGAATTTTTGTCGAAAGCCTAGTAATACTTTGAATGATGATGATAATGATGATGGTGATGAATCTATTTCCAATAGAACAATCCAATGTCTCCAATAGCCCTCCAAAAATAATTCACTTTCTTAGTTACGATTGCCTTGGATCATCCTCGATTTCAGTTGTTAGAAATCGAAGTAAAAGTATTCTATATATGCGTATGGTTTCATGTTTCTATTTATCTCGATTAACATTTAATTTGATGATAAAAACGGTTGGGTTTATTGTAGTAAAGTGTAAATAAAAATAATATTCCAAACTACCGCTAGAAAGTTTTATATGATTGTCATCTGGAAGCTTCTTAACACCTTTTCATATGTATATTGTTATACGTCTCAATAAATCAGTATAGTTTATCGGTGCACTTTTGGGATGTTGGCGGTTATGCTAATGAACTGAACGGTTCATGAGTTATGGTATTCAGATGTGTTTCCAATTCGTGTGATGCAGGGAAAATAAGCTAACAAATCGGCAATCAATAGCAGGCAAGGGACTGTGTCTTTAAGAACAGATTCGCCAATCGTTACCGGTTAGATTTGTTGTCTTGGTGATGAAGCAGCCTGAAACTTCTTCAGCTGAACGTGTGACTGCAGCGTTTGCCTCAAGAGGAGACCGAAAATGATCCGTGGAATCGGTTTTGGCAGTCTCAGAAAAACGCAAAATATTATAATAATTTTTATGGTGTGTTTATGCTAATTCAAACGGCCACTGTAATGAGCAAAGTTCCAGAATATTGTGATATTCCCTTATTTTTGACGCTCCTTGAAACATTTTATACGAAGACATATCACGCAGGGATACGCCGGTTTCTAGTTATGGTCGAGGTAACCGTGAGTGAGATTTGATGATACACAATGTTTGGTGAGGAATTGATAAATAACAATGTTTGACACTGGAAAGAAACTCAACATGGACGTTTTACATATATATGATAAAGAGTATAACCAACGCACCGGCGATAAATTTAAGAGGAGTTTAATTTCCACGCCATTACCAATGGTTTCTAAGTGAAGTATTACGAACATAATAATTCTTTTTTTTACGAAGAAAAACGTTTTTGCAAGAAACATTTGTTTCTACCCATTCATTTGCTGACCTGTTGTTGGGAGCCACGAGTTTAACTTTTTTCATTTAAGATGTCGGCCACGAATTTACCTTTATTCATTTAAGATGTCGGCGGCTTCGATTTTCAGCTGTGGACCAGACGGATCGGGAACTTAGATAGCAACAAGATGAGGAGTATCTTCCCTTCTCTACCAGTTACCTTAAATAATACGCATACATTGGCGGCTTTTCGAATGAAGAGGCTACCAGCTGTCTAAAGGTTGATTGGAGACTATCAAGAAGCGCAGTTATTAAAGTTTGACAATTAGAATTCAATTTTAATTTAAATGATCTCTACCATGCAGCTGAAGTCCAGCTTACAGCACATCCCTAATTGTTCGGCGAACGGAAAACTGAAGGAAAACACGACGATTGCTGTAACTCGGTTACTTCCTATCCAATATATACTGCGGTTCTTTTCCTTTTTATCGAGTTTAAGTATAAACTGGCAAAATGAACAATACATCTGCAGCTAATGTCAGCCAAACAAACGATCAAAGTTCATCAAAGGATGCTACCTCCAAGACAGAAGGCATCGTATCCTTCAGTGCACTCATATTGACTTCTGTTTTAACTGTCGCAGGAAACACGCTAACGATTGTCCTTTTTGCGATGAAAAGAAATATTCGCAAGAAGCATTTCTTTCTAGCTGTCAACTTAGCGTCTGCTGACCTGCTGTTAGGAGCTGTGAGCTTACCTATATACAGTTGCTATGTCGGCTTCAATTTCGGACTGTGGACCCTAACGGAAAGCTTTAGCACCCTTACGTGGCTCCATATTCTCTTCCAGACTGTTGATACTTTCTTCTCGCAAGCCTCACTTATTTCTGCAGCCTTCATATCCTGTGAGAGATTCCATGCCATATATCGGCCGTTTAAGCATAAAACATTGTCAACGCGAACATACCGCATTGTTATTTTTGTATTGTGGCTCCTTGCTCTCCTTATTTCTGCGTTATTGATTGGATCAAACCTCCTTCTTTCATACAAATACACCGGGATGATTTGGGGGCCATATATTTTTCTTCTCATTTTTATCATATGTGGCTGTTATATTGGTATCTGGAGAAAATTTAAAGGTGGAATTGCCTCTGCTTCACATCAGCAAAACGGAGACTTGCAAAACAAGCGCTTAACAAAGACATTGTTATTTGTGTCTGGCTTTACTTTGCTGGCTTGGCTGCCTTTAGTCATAACAAACTTCTTAATAATTTTGGGATTTTTACCTATAGATTGGAAATTTTATCCCATGGTAAACCTTTTCAACTACTCTAACTCTCTTGTCAATCCGTTCGTTTATGCATTGAGAGTCGCCGAGTTTCGACGAGCTCTGACTTCTTGTCGTCTCGGAAGAGAGCCAGCTTTGAACACAGCGCTTCCTAACATCAGGAACGAGAGGAACGGAACTAGCGTCTGAACAACCAGATATTATGGATACTTCATTGTAAATTACGTCAATTATGTCCAATAATTTCTTTTATTTATCTTTCCTTTTTTTTTTAGGGCACTAAGAATCCTTTGAAACCGGTAAGACATGTGGTCTTGCGCAAAACACAATCTAAAATTTCTTTAGCTCAGGAAATTTTAATGAGAAGCTGGTGTTACTACCACCATTATGATTATGATTACGGGAATGATGATTTTATTTCAGTGCAAACATACTCAGTGACGCTTGATTCATTCGCCATTTCAACTAAGACACGTTGGAAAATAAATTCATTGTAGACGTTTTGGGAAGAGTCGGTCCTCAACATATGGTTGAGCAGATGTGCCGCGAAGGAGAAAAAAAAGGAAGTCACAATGCAGCTAATGTATTCCTAATCGGTCGGTGATCAGTATAGGGAAACAACATCTGCTTTTACTCAGTATCTACTCATCATCGGTTTCTACCATCCATTCAGAACGGTACTGTCCTCCTCACTAACTGAGTATCCTCTTCTTGGCATATATCCCGCAAATATGAACAATACAGTTCAAATCCCGCAAATATATAAATTTGCGGTATATATCCTGCAAATTTGAACGATACAGTACAAATTTCGTACCAGCCTGAATTTTTTTTAGGTCTTATCTTCACTGCTATTCAAGTAGTGTTTATTACTGCGAAGATCACTTTCATATTCACGTCTTAATCCGCAGTTCAAATATTTGACTTTCATATATTCACAGCCGTTAATGCATCTGCTGCTGACATGAGTATCAGAGAGGATCTTAATTCATCAAAGGATGCTCCCTCACAGGCAGACGGCATAGCATTCTGTGATGTTTTTTATGTTAACATTAGTTGTAGTTGTCGCCGGAAACCTACACGTGATTATTCTTTTTGCGAAGAACGTCAATATTTGCAGGAAACATTTGTTTCGTGGCCCTTTGACATGGTATTTACTGACCTGTTGTTGGGGGCTGTGGGTTTACCTCATGTATGTACACTTACCAAGCTGGATTAAATCTCCAGTTATGGACATTAACGAAAAGCTTTGAGAGCAACATACCTCTCCATAATTCCCACATGATCGTTGATCCTTTTTTCTCGCAGCCTTTATACCCTGTGAGAGATTTAACGCCGTACACTAGCCGTTTAAGCATCGAACATAATCAACGCGAGTATACCGTATTGTTATTTTTACAGCATGGATGCTCGCTCGTCTTATCTCTGCGATATGCACTGGATCAAACCTCCTTCTTTCATACAAATACACCACGTTAATTCGGGGGCCATATACTTTGATTCTCATTTTGATGACACGTGGATGTAACATTGGTATTTGGAAAAAGTTTCAAAGTAGAAGTGTCGCCGCTTTACATCAGCAAAACAGAGACTTGCAAAACAAGCGCTTGACAAAGACAATAGTACTGTTATTTGTATCTGGCATTACTTTGCTGGCTTGGCTGCCTTTAGTCACATTAAACTTCTCGATAATTGTCTGTTTTTTTCGCGTACGAATGAAATTTTATTACATGATTAACAATTGTCAATCCAGTACTTTATGCATTAAGAATTCCCGAGTTTCGTCGACGAACATTGGCTCATTGTTGTTTCAGAGGAGAGCCAGCTATAAACGCAACCCTCGCTAAGAGTAGGAATGAAAGGAAAGAAAAAACCGATTTTAGCCATGAACCGATGTTTAAACAAGATGTAATGGATACCAAATTGTAAATAACGTCAGGATAATATGGTTCCATCAACTTAGTTCATTATGTAAATTGTTTATAGCTTTAGCCCTTTGTCAGAGCGAAGAGCTAACGCTCGGTTACAGAACAACTAAATTTAGTGATTTTCCCTCATTTTTGACACATCCTGGAAGATTTTATAGGAAGTCTTCCCTTTCACTCAAGATTTTTTTAAATTGAAGAACCTAATGAAAGGATAGGCCGGTTTCTTGCAATAATTGCTGTAACAGAGATAGATATTTGCTGATACACAATGTTTGATGAGATATTTTAATTTCTCAACTACAAGGATGTTTTTTGTTAGAAAAAGCTCATCCTACGCCTTTGAATAAACAGATGATAAAGAGTCATTCTTTATCATTTACATAATTGTTGAACAGATGTGCGGGAGCTGTTTGGGATGAAAAAGAATCAGAGGCGGTTCTGAATAAAAAACCAGACTTGCAGTTGTTAATCTTTGGAGAGTAAGCAGTAAATCCAATTTATCCTAAAAGACTTCACCACAAGAGAAAGCTTCCTATAGAACGGCTGCTCAGAACACATCGGGACCCATCAGTGTTGGTCATAATGACATTCTTTCACGCTTTCAATAATGGTCTTACCTTCCTTACAGTTAATTAACAAAACTTGCAAGCAAGCTTTTCCAATTTCCCTTACTTTTGATCGAGCTAAATCGCCCAAAGGTTCGGCAACCCATCTCCACACAAGTGTGAGCCAATTCTTGAATAAAACCTCAAAAAGTGATGAAATTGAGACTGACTGAAGAAAATGTCCACCCACTACCATTTACTATTCAAATATGCAGCTCTTCACCTCTCTGGAAAATTGAAAATTTGTTTTGATTGCCATTTCGTTTATCTATTCGTCTAGAAAAGCTATAATTGACCGCTTACCTTTTTTAATTTCCTCGATGAAATAGTGGTTCCACAAAGCAAAAAATATCGTCGTTTTTGATTCCTCTTTATTCTTCTAAAGTGAAGATGTGTGGGTGTTCATTACCGACGAAGTGACAAGTGGGAACCATTACCCATGAATTTATCTTGGCTTTTTTTGAGTTAAACATGGGTGCCTGTATGAATATTTAATACTTTCAATCTGCAAAAAATCCCTTACGAGCAACATTCGAAAAACCAAGGCTATTTGTGTACCGCGCTTGTATATTTTTTATTCGGTAATCACAATAGAAATTTTCGTCACATTCTGGATTTTTTCGTATTTTTGTTTTGGGCATATTTCATATTCAAATTCCGGGTTTTGTTTACGTTTTTCAGACATTGCTGTCTTTGAGAAAGATGCTTTTTCGTTCTTTCACGAGCATGGGACAAAGAAAAAAATTCTGAGTCCCCATGACGAATGGAACCTCAGACCTTCAGATTCCGCGCTCCGATGCTCGGAATCTGAAGATCTGAGATTCCTCATGGGGACTCAGAATTTTTTCTTTTTCCCATGCTCATGACGGGACGAAAAGACATTTTTCTCTGTTTCTCTTATTCTATTGTGATCTTCATTTGACTTTGAGCCATTACTTTTACTTAAGGAATATCTTGGGGTAAGGTTGCTTCATTTTTTTTAATAACCGGTGATCGCATTAAAAACAAGGAAAAACTTGCTGACAAACAATTCTGAAAACAGAGGATTTGTAATATCTCACCAAACAGAATTTAATTAAATGCTTTAAAATTAATGAAAGATTATCTAAAGAAAGAGTTAAATGAAGAGCTTGCGAGTTGTTCAAACACAGACCGAAGGGTTTCTTTAGGATGGAAATATGGAACTAACCCTAGGAAAGTTAAAAGGTTCCAATATAACGTTTCATTTTCCCTTACGTAAAGCGAGGGTCTCCATAGATGGTGTCTTTTAAGGCTAACGGTTAAAATTTTGGCCATTTGACGGCCAACGGTTGACCAAAGTGAGACCTTCAAAAGAAGGCCGTTATGTCGGTAAATATATTCAAATAAATAAAGAAAAGAAATAATAACATAAAAAAGAACAGGGAAGTTTGAGGTCAAAAAATGATCCGAAATGTGTGCGTTCGCTCTAAACCCTAAACGTCTGCGGTCTGATGTAGAGGATAAAGGATTTCGATTAAAATAAGTCTTGTGGCAACCACTTTTTGAAAAATTTTCAAAGTGATTTTACTTGACTAGACCTTCTTAAAGACGGCCACGCTTTTTAATGGGAGAAGAGACTATCAGTCTATCAGCTGCCTCAAGCTTAATTGGAGACTGACAAGAAACACAGTACCGTTATTACTACTTGACAAATTTTTGACAGTTGACGGTAGCATTCATGCGATCCTAATTGGTCGGTAAATAAGAAAACTGAGGGAGAAAACAAAACTTGCATCAATTCTTTTACTTGACCGATCCAGCACTTCAGAGCTCTCGATACCAGCTCAGTATTATCGAGTGGAAGCATAAACTCCCAAAGTGAACATGATAACAAATACATCTGCTACTA